GTGGCTTAGTGGCTTTCAATCATTTCGTTAGGTGACATCAACGCCAGATTTCGTGAGAATCATATTTAATAGGACTGTTGTGCACCAGTCTGTCAAATTTCATTTGTAATTGTACTTTCTGGATTAAGGTGGCATTTGAGTGAAGCTGCACTTCCAAGCAAATCATGGGGCACAGATGAGTCGTTTATGGATACTTTGTGATTGATAACATCACGTCGCCCGGAAAGTGACAGAGCTTACCTTTAAAAAAATTTCAAGGGAACAGAGATGGTGCCAGTCTTCTGTATGACCGCTTCCACTGTCCGCGCACACCGTGCCAAGAATGCGTAGTCATCGCTAAGGAGTCTGTGGAGCAGATCAAAAGGAATGATGTTTATTTCACCTGCCCAGGCTGCCACGAAATGCGTGGGAAACACAGCAGATCTCTCGCCTGATCAATAATAAGGGCAAAAAAGTTGTTCGACATGATACCTTCAGAGAATTAGTACGTGTGTGCTTAGAGCATCATCGTTTCGACATACCTAGGCAACTGCATCGGCCAAATACCGATACCTAGGTCAAGTCACACCACCATCTGCTCCCGAAAGTCTGTAGTTAACTGGATGAGCGACGCCTGGCGATGGAAGATTTATTTGAGAATGTCGATGTCGACAGCCTGAACGCTGAGCAATGGCACGAGGATATCGGACTTACGATCAGCGTACCAGGCCATGCTGTTACATGGCGCGGATCTTCTCAGCACGAGCTCTTGGCTTGCATGCCTCAGCTGATACGTCTGGCCGCAATCTGTCTAGTTCTAAAAATCGGATGGCAGAGTGCGGGTGCACAGATGGCGTGACCACCTCTTCGTCATGGTCAGATATGAAGGGGACTGGAATTTGTATGGTCTGAGGTGTTGCAACGACGGAAGGTTCGGTCGACTGTGTCAAACTTGAGACAGATGTATTAAGTGCTGGCTATGCGGGACTCAGAATCGCTCGTGTAAGATGACTCGAGAACGACGTTCGAAAGGGTCTGAACTTAGAGTGATGTGGCGGCCGAGCTTATTTAAAGTCCCCGACTGTATGAAGTAAGGAGGGGTTTTGCAGCATCTGAATATCCAGGCACCTGTATGTCGACTGAAAACTTCCTTCCTTTTTAGTGCATGCCACAGTTCACTGCTCTACGCAGTAGCTCCAGGGCAACTGGGTGAGAAGCTGATTGGTTAAATTACTGATCCAGTTTCGTCTATCGCGATATATCGAGGTCAGACAAACAGTGGTTGAGCTGGAACCGAGCTAACGCTCGGTTCGGACGCTGACAAGTTTGCCTTTGGGTGGTTGAAACTCGACATGTGGGCTGAATGACTGACCATCGAGTGCCGAGACAGTCGCGCTACGATCCGTTAATGTCATCACGTGTTGGACAGGAGATCGTCCGTTCCAATAGACCTCGCGATACATTTATCCTGCACAGGCGATTGTATGATCCGGTCGCCTGTGCTGCCTAGCGCTGGCAAGTTACGGTCGTCTGTGACATGGTCCCTGGTTCCAACCGAATGAAGCAAAAGCAGGAGCCGTGTGCCTTGTTATATTTGCAGTGCAGCGTTGATCCAAATGTCGTCTACCTTGTCCCGTAACCCGGTTTGAATTGCTTCGTGAATGATTGTGCGAAACTTGGCTGTGCAGACAGAAAAAGGGTGCGTGAATCGAGCAGGATGATTGATTATATGTGCCGTACGGTTCTCTACGAAGTTGTTCAGCCCGGCTTTCGCGTCCGCTTCCCCCTGCAGTCTCTGCGGGCAACCACCCTATGACAGAGCACAAATCAGGGGTTGATGGTAGTTGAGTGAGGAAGGAAACTGCATAGACTCAGCCTAACATTCGGAAGAAAATGGGGTGGTAGAAGAGGTCAGGTAGGGATGGGTCTGGTATTACTGGATTGGAGGTTGGGTGGCGCGCGAAGACAGCATGCGTGCGACTGCTTGGGAACAGAGCTCCGGAAGCCACACGTGTTGAGGGGATCTGGATGGGCGTTCATATCGTGCACATAGTCGTCAGTGGACCGGTGAACAGACTAGAATGCAATACTTGCTAGATACAGTTAACAATGGAACAATCACAATAAATCGGGTGGGTAGGTTTACCTTGAGATGTGTGGCCCACGATCTCAAGTGGCTTGTTATAACCACGAGGGGCTCCGGCTAAAACCAATGCCAGCGAACATGTCTTCTTGCTGTCTTTCGAAATCGTATACTTCAGTACGAACAAAAACTTTTTTTTAAAAAGTACGCGTACCCGGCCCACCGAACCGACAGCACTACCTCGTCTGTACGATGGCTTAGCTTTCACACCTACAACGAATCGTGAACAACACTCTCGCGAACCTAAACTCATCCCTGGAATACCATGGTGAATACCAGATTTCCACAGCGCGATCAACATACCCCGTGCAGTGCAACATTGTTCCAGTGTGTCCATAAACGATTTATATAGTGTGATGACGAAGAGTAAGCATGTAGTAAGATGAGTTCAGAGCAAGGCTTACCTATATTTATGACCACGCACACGAACTTCAGTGGCCGATAGCTCCTTGAGATAAAGTTGCAACGCGTCCGAGTCCATCTCCTGCACCTGAGAACGAATGGCGTCTTTGAGGAAATTGATGAGCATCGCGGACTCTGCACTTGAACCTGTTACCCAAAGTAAGTCAATGTGGCTGGTGATGATACGTATCTTGCTACTGACCTAAAGAAAAAGGCAGAGTGCTGTGGTCCGTTTTCAGACACATCTGGATGGCATCTTCAAAGAAGTCGTCAGATCAATGATATGCGATAAAGAAACCTGGCAGCGCACAATGATTGATTTTATTTCCAAAAGTCGACGAAAGACCACTCAAGCCAGATTTCGCCTTCCTGTTCGGTGGGTGGAGCGTTTCGGAGTGCCTTGAATGGACGACGGAGTATCATAGATTCAGGAGTCAGGACTGATAGACTTGAACCAGTCGTGCTCTCGTACGCGAGTGATATGACCGAGAGATGATGGAATGGATGGTAGCACTGTTGAACACAAAGATATAAACACGCGTGAAAGATAAAGGATTAAAGACACATGCCAAGTGATCTCTGCCGGTTCCTTATTGAATTCAGAACAGACGCCTAGTCACGGTAGAAAGACGCAATTGAGGTCTTCCGACCGAGAAGTATGATTGGTAGGCTCTCCTAATTACGGGTTCCCGAGGCCTCATAGATGTTCACAGAATCGTGCGGAAGACTCACCGTCACGGTGCTGAAGTTGTCGGTGCCGATTTCAGTTTTGTCAAATCAGATGTAGCTAAAGCAACAACATCACCAAAACTGCTCAAATGTCACAATAGGTGACACTACCTTATTAAGAACGTTTCACACGATCGAATGTTATTGCCCCAAGTATTCACACGTCATATGAACTTTGCACATTACAAACTTGCCTGACTATGACATCGCGCTAACTACAGCTCAGTTAGTGGTAGCGAGATGAGATTGTACATGTAATGTAGTAATGGCATTTTATCATAGTTATTACCTGGCAATAACATTATATTGAACTCGATGTTATAGTATTTTAAGACAAGTACTCTTCATATATTTTTGGGGTTCAGGCTGGATGTTAATGATGGATCAAATGACAGATCAAAAATGATACACTATAGAGCACCATACCCCTCTGCTGCAAGAAAGTCATCATCCAATTCTTCTCCCTCATCTGCTTCTATCCTGTCTTCCTCCTCCTCTTCGTTCTCATCCTCCTCCTCATCCTCCTCCTCTTCATTCTCATCTCTGTCCCCCTCCTCTTCTACATGATCCATACTAGGCCCATCACTCTGCAAAAACTCATCCCACCTGCGGGATATCTTGTGACCGATGCCACCCCCTCGGTACTGCATGAACATATCCCTGTCTACAAATCTAAGAATCCAGCCACGAGTTAATTAGCAATAGAAAGGCACTGTAGACTCACATGTTTACATAGAAATAAAACCAATCTTTGTGTAAATCTGCCTCATGTCAGACAAAAGATTCTGAAAGGAGTTTGTCAGTCTGACCCTTCTCAAATGCTGGTATTAGGTGTGTACCCCAGATGACAACATCAGGATCTATGAAACCAAAGGCGCAAGGATCATCGCCCCTAAGAAAGCCAATGCAGGGTAGCTGCTTGGCTGAGAAACCGGAAGTGTAATTTGAGTCACGTCCAAACCACCAGACAAATAACACATTCATTCGGCGTGGTTTCACCATAGAAACATCATTGTAGTCCCAGATGTTGACGTGAAAGATCCGAATTATCTGTGCGTACCAATAGGGATGTCATGCCTCATCAGTCTCATGCGAGAGAACCATAATGTCAGCATGGGTTCGCGGATTGAGTGAATCTTGCTCTCTTCATAAGTTGTAAGTTGTGTAGTTGACACGGAGAATACTATGTTCGTAGATCTTGTTGTTAGCGATGGAAATTTGGTCACAGTCCTCGTCAGTGAATCCAAGTTCATCTCCGGTTCAATACCATGAATACGAGCCAAAAGGTTATCTTTAAGTCATGGAACAAAATCCTGGGTATGCTAGGTGAAAATATAAGAACTTTAAGAGCTTCAAAAATGCACCGTAATTGCCTCGTCCTCAAACCAATTGCAAGCCACTCAGTAAGATCATACAAGGTCCTTGCATACTTGGAGATATGGTAGTGATCAGATGGTGATGTACGTTCACGTTGACGGCACTGTGATCCATAATCGATCAATGCTGATTGTGCCTTGACAATCTTCCCCAGCAGTTGTTCCCTGGTCTTGATCCGTATCATGCTTGAGACCGTGTTATTTTTGCCTTTTGGGGTTTTTGGATACTACCGTTTAACATGCTGGTGCTGTTGTTCACCCTATAGATATTGGATTAACATACAGGCTGAAACAAATAAAAAATAAACATACTGGGTGGGTGCTGTAGCTATCAGTAGTACCGAACTGTCGGATAGAATCTGGATAATCACCAAGGGCATGGTACTTGTAGGTGTTCAAATTAAATTTCTTGCGCTTCGGCCCGGATGGAACTGCCTTGATCGAGGTTGATTCCTGCTTGGAAGCTAATGTTGCTTCCTGTCGTCCATGTGATGCATACTTGTGAGGTAGTTCTGTAGTGCTATAGTACTTACACGTCATTTGGGCGAATTTGTGGACAGTCTGTCCTAGGATGATTATTGCTTTATCGAAGAACTTAAGGGTATCCTCAGTATGCATCCGTAACTTTGCATATCCATGCCAAGTTGCTAAATTGAAAAGGAGATCTTGAACAATCTTAGCATGCCGTCCAGGAAGTAAGGCCTCAAAGACTGGAAGTGCGCACTATAAATAGTTGTCATCGAGATTTTATCAAAACATTTGAATAAATACATACCTGTAGAAGATCCTCAAAATCACATGCAGCCAGATGCTTCATTGATGATGCATTAGAATTAAACCTCCTGATGGTCCCTCTACCAAATGTCAGCACACATCGATACCTGGTTATTCCAAACAAGTGTATTAGAATATCATGGCACAAATTTCAAATAATGTACCTTTCATTAAGCTTCTGGACAGCATTTCCTCCAGCCGCATGTAGGATGTGCATCAAATGAGTAAAAACAGCCTTCCATACTCCAATTTCAAACTCATGCAGCTGATTGATGATAAACATCTGAAACTGGTTGAAGTCGGCGTATGGTGATAACTTCTCTGAGAAGGTGTTCTATACAATACACTAATTAGCTGGTATAGTAACAATATGAAAAAGAAACTTACTCGAGTTGGAACCAATGATTTGTTGTTGAGTATATTTTTTCACATGAGTCCCATCAACCGATGCGCCTGACTGAAAAATAAGGACCTGCGCATCATTAACTTCTCGGCGTAATATGCTATTGTCCTTGCACATGAGTCTGATGCGCCGTTTCATATCACACTTCGTTTCCATCAAATGAACTTGATCCTTCTGTGTGAGGCAGCACGGACAAAGGCATCACCTGAGATTTTTGATGCCTGTAAGAATGACTCTGTGAAATATTAGCATGCTTCTGTAAGTAAATGAATTAATGCACTCACTTCTCAGGATAGTCTGTTGAGTATGTAAAAAAAATGAGGGAATACCCTACGAGTAACACCATCTCCACATTTTATCACAATACCATGCTCGTAAGCATACATGAACTTCTCATCCAGCAGCAGAGCCCATATTGCTTGCATCAGTTCGCGTTTACAGTGTGTGTACACTTGACTAGTAGTACGGTCACCAAATATATCCATATATCGATCTTGAAGATCTTCTGGTAACTACGACACATATTACAGTGACATATTTCCGTATTATATGGGTCACCCAACCTACATAATATCCCATATAAGATGGGCCAGCGGATGATGGGCTGATGTGATGTATATCCTTGATGTTGATGGATGGGCTGGGAGGGATATTATTTCCGATGGAGGTGGGTGGGCCCATGTGTGGAATATGTAGAGTAGATGAGTGGGCTGATGGACATGAATATTTTATAGACGGATGGGCCAAGGTAGTTGGATATTATGTAGATGGGTGTACCAAGGTAGGTGGGTATCAGAGAGATGGGTATGCCGAGGGTACTTGTCATCACATACATGAGTGGGCCCAGATATATACTATATTAGACGGGTGGGCCCAGATATATATTATCTTAGATGGGTGGGCCGAGTGTCAAGGAAGGTGGGTATCAGATAGACAGGTGGGCCGGCCAAGGGTACGTGTTATCACATACACGGTGGGCCCAGGGATATATTATATCAGACAGGTGGGCCGAGGGCGGTATATAATATAGACAGGTGGGTACAGGTGAATGATAATTGTAAAACAATGCAGTACCGATTGCTGAGTAGCTAATTCGGATGAAGCGTAATGAGTTCCTGCAGCTGCATGTTCATTACTGTTGCATTGCTGTACGAGAAGCAAGGTTCTGACTACCGAAATTCGAGTGAAGCATACCGAGTTCCGAGACCCGGGTGTCAATAAACAAATATCTCATATCCAGCACACTTCCAATGATCGGGTATTTCATTGAGCAACGGGTGGTAATATATCTTCGACAGCCAACATCATGGAAGGTTCTCTTATCAGAACCTCATGTTCACCACCTACCGAATGCCAAATGCCAAGTTCCGACTACCAAAATTTGAGTGAAGCGTGCCGAGATCCGAGCCCCGGGAGTTGACAAACGAATATCTGATATCCAGCACACTTCCAATGATCTGGTATTTCGGCTCCCTTATCTGATCCTGACTATCTCCACCCCCTTTAACACCAACCTCTGGGCGTCCAGCATTCAGCTTCTGATTTCCCAAGATCGACTTCATCATGAATGGTTCTTCCACTTCTGCAATTGAAATAAGCCTCTGGTGCACTTGGGCCCTGACAGTGACTCACGAGGCATGTGAATATACTGCACAGAAATTCAATGCAGAGAAGACAGGAGGAGACCCAGTGATACCTTCTCCTAACCTAGACACTGATCTAGTGATGGCCTGCAATCAATTGGTAGATCGCCTCATAAAGGCATATAAAAATCCGAGTGGGTCTTCCTGCAGATTCGGAAAATTCATTTGATCATTCAAATTCCTTCATCACAGTTCAGATGAACATCGACATTGCAAGATATAGCAAATTGATCTCCCCAAAGAACACCAGGCACAATGAGGAGAAAGAGGAGAAGTTGCTTAAGAGATGTCCTCCTGGCCATGAGGGGATAAGGTTTGTGGACATACCCGCCACCATTCTAAATGTGTCCGGCACCATCATCACATGGTACCTCCCAGATGCCCTGACAGCCGAAACACAGGTGTGTGATATAGATTGTTACTCAATATATATTAAATACCCAATGGCAACCACAGAAGGAAATTTGGGCAGCCACCAAGTTGCTGTCTCTGAGTCTGGAAAGAAGTATGAAGGTCGATGGGAATTGGTGAACCAATCCAGAGTGGTTCAAACACTGCTCAGAAGATGTTGGCCTAGCTGCCGGGTGCATTAATTTATCTCCGGCATGGTTTCAACAGGGCACGAGGTAGGATTTGATAGGATGATGATTTCGGTAGTTGAGCACACCAATCCCGTAGAATCTAGCGGACCCAGAGGTATCTGCATCATTAAAGGGACCATTGTCTGAGGGAATCCTAAATGCCATTGCAAGGCCAGCAGCCATTGCATCAGCAGCACTCAGGATCATGCATCCAGAGCAGTACTGGGCAGGGTTACGAACATTTTCAAGCCTCGGAGAAAATGCAGAAAGCAAGGAACTGCCAAGAATGTCCAAGATCCTGGAGTACTGGGCATCCGTGTTTAACACGCTATCCATCATTTCCAATCATCAAACCCCGTATCATCTAGACCATTTATCAATTCCTGAACACTTTGATATTCTCACTACCATGGGGAATTATTCTAATGCTCAGATGAGCATGCCAAGCCTTCAGCTGGAGTTCGGGTACGATCCCGGGTGTATGATTGGATTTTCTGGAAGGATTGTCAGACATGGGGTTCATGAGGTGGAGGGGGATAGGGTTGGGTGGGCATGGTATATGAGGGACTCTGTTCATATTTATGCTGGGGTTCCCTCATGCAGATGGGCTAGGGTGGATTGACGAACCCTACCACCATGTGGAAGATGAAACAAGTAGAAAGTGTAATTACCCGCATCAGTACCTGCTTTCGACTACCAAGTATGAACTGTCTCTCTCAATGACACTCAAGGTCCGAAATCCATAGCAGATGCATACAATAACTGTCCAGAGCCTTCCATGTCTCTTGATGACACTTGAGGTCCGAAATCCATAGCGGATGCATACAATAACTGTCCAGAGCCTTCTGTGTCTCTTGATGACACTCGAGCACCAACACATTCAGCGCGAGAGAGTGGGGTTTCAGTTGTGGTGCGCAGTTACAAAAGGCTGGCCCTGGGTTGGAGTAGCACAGACAATATCATTGACCTTACATTAGGCAATGCTAAGAAGAACGGTCTGTTGCAAAAGGAACCTACAAGTCAAAAGGGCACAGAGAAGCAAAGAAATGTAAGTATGAATGCTGCTGTACAAATTTGAAAATGGTACTGGGGCGATGGCTATCATTGTATTTAGACTCAGATCCTATCGACAGTCATCAAGGCCAGGAGCTCGGTAACCGGGTCTCGGCACTCGGGTCTTGATATTTGGACCTCAGTAGTTAAATGCCGGGAGTCGGGAATCGGTAATGGAGATCCGGAACTCGAAGTTCAATATTCGGCAGTCAACATTCGGCACTCAACGCTCGGACCTCGGAACTCGATATTCGGAGCTCGGTAATTGGGTCTCGGCACTCAGGTCTTGATACTCGGACCTGGGTAGTTACGTTCCGGGAGTCGGGAATCAGTTATGGAGATCCGGAACTCGGGGTTTGATATTCGGCAGTAAACATTCAGTACTCGACACTCGGTACCCGACATTTCAGAACTCGGTAATCGGGACTCGATATCCGGAACTTGGTAATCAATATTTGGAGTTCGGCAATTGGGTCTCGGCACTCGGGTCTCGATATTCAGACCTCGGTAGTTAGATTCTGGGAGTCGGGAATTGGTAATGGAGATCTGGAACTCGGAGTTCGATATTCAGCAGTCAGCATTTGGTACTCAACACTCGGTACTCAACGTTCAGAACTCAAAACTCGATATTCGGAGTTTGGTAATGGGTCCCGGTAATTGGGACTCAATATCTGGACCTCGGTGGTCAGGACATGGCGATGCACATCTGCACCGTTTATTTCAGGACTCGCCATATAACATCATGTTAGATATTGCAATGTTTACAAGTGATTTTCAGTACTCATAAAACACATATGCGACTTGCACTTCAACATTTCCAACTGAGTGACTAGAGCTACTCTCCTCTGCCTCTCTTCAATCTGTCCAGCATGGCAGTGTAGATTTGTCTCTCTGCCATCTTGTCACAGATGCCCTCATGTTGCTCCTCAAGTAATGTCAGGAGGCATTCTCTAATCCACCTCAGTCCCATCAGTGATGGAGCTGAGGTATGATCCACCTGCTCCGGAATTGTCAGACCATCATTCTCAACGCCATCCTAGAGCAGATCAGTCATGAATCAAGGAAATGGAATAAGAATCTTACTAGCCAATGCTGGTAGTGAAAGATACAGCAAGTCATCACCTGATCCCATTGCCATAGTTCGTTCGGGATTGCAGTTTCTCCCATCCACCATGGGGTATCATAGCTGGATATGATCTGGGATGGATCTCCAGGATCTGCGACGTCATGAAACACACAGAGGTGATACAAAAAGATGTGATCCGGAACCGTGCTCCAGGTGTGACCAGGAATCAAATGAAGAATATGAGCAATAGGGCTGGGAATGACCGAAATGATGTTCCTGGCAGCTGAGTACTGGAGGATGGGAGTGACAAAGTCTGTGGAAGATGTCAGCATTAACCGCCAGTGTCGTCGGGGTCTTACAGTGATCTCCCATTGCAGCCCGGCTTTGAAGTGCCTGATCCGAGCCAAAGGGGGAAGATTGTTGTTTGCAGCCTCCACCTAATATTGGGAGATGGATGCGCAGATGTGCGATGCAGACATCGACATAGTAGCTGAAATGTCTGCAGGAGTGAGAGTGAGGGGCCGGTACTCATTGAGGGAATTCTCATTGTCAGAAGTGGATGCAGGAGAAGGATATAATTCAGGCATGGCTGATGCAGGAGTATCACACTGGCAATGACAATGACAGTTGGTTCAGATGTGAAGATATCATCCACTGATGGATGGATAAATTTTTCAAACTCTGACATGGGCTGACCCAGCCAATTCCCAGGACTAAATTTGTATATTGAAATGGTTCTTATATCCCATCGGCAATAAACCATTCATTCATCTCGGGAATCTATCAAAACAGTCTGCAGGTGTTGAAACACTGCCTGGGCGTCCTGCGCCAGCAATGAATACATTCGGGATTGCCTTCCGGAGTAGCATGCATGACCCGGAAGTTGTTTCGTGAATGATTCCTGCATCCGGTCGCCCCATTGGGCTGCTTTCCACAAGAAAAAGTTACATGTCCAATCCATCTCGAATTGGACCAACATCAGCTCTTCCTTCCATCGATCCCGTAGTGCCTTTGCCTAGAGCCAGTGAACTCGGTAAACTTCATATTCATCCGGTCAGCTCAACGTCGGACGTGTCGAGCATTAGGGAACTCACATTCCTCATTCCATGATTGATCCGGACCATGCATGTCAACCTCAATGGACCAGAACCACGCGAGGGATTCATTTCATTGACCACGGGCATTCAGATCACCCACGGCAGTGTTGACTTTGAGCTGCTCGCAAAGCAGGGGTTTGTACTTCTGAAGTTGGCCATGCCCTGTGTCAAGTTTCATCATTTGCGTCCTGGTCTTGGTATATATACTCGCATGCAGGGAGACAGCCTGCTGCACTGACGTCACCTGCGACCAGGCTCGAGTTTTCAGGGCTTGAGATTTGGCTTGCCTGACCGTCGTTCGGAATAGGACTGCCTTGTTGCACAAGTGAATGCGGAGGTTGTGAAGTGCATCATTTGCCTGCCCTTTGCGAAGGGAGATCTCCAGCGGAATGAGATCCTCTGCCATCAAGTGTCTGCATCTATCTACCCCGAGGTTTGATGGCAATTGGATCGCAATGAGCTCGGGCGAGTTTGTCCATGTATCAGATGTCTCGGTAAAATCTTCTGGGTCATCATCGAGATCATCTAGGATGTCTACATTCAAGTTGTCATGATTGTCATCTCCATTGAATCCCTCTCCGAGATGCATGACAGCAGAATGCATGAATCCATCTATCTGGCCTTGGAGACAATCTCATTGCTGGGCGAGGTCTAATCTCTGTGTCTCTGTAGTTCGTTTTCTGATTCTTTGGACCTCGATGAGCAATGCAATTTGAGCCTCCTCGATTGCCAACCCCATAGATATCCATGTCGCCACAGATCTCCGAGATGGTGCTGCATTACGGGCATTACCCTGCTCTAGCAGTCTAAGTTCGATCTCCTTTTTGCTCGGTGCTGAGTGCGAAATTAATTCAGACTTCTATGGAGACATGGTCAGCTTACCCTTCTTGATATTTATCTCGTAAACATCCATCGCCGCAGGATCATTTATTCTGCTGGATTGAGCGATCATCTTGTTGGCCAACCATTCTGTCTTCAAATTGGCGGGTGCTGCTTCATCGAGTCTGTCGAAAGCCTTTTCACTTTCGGCGATGCAATTTCTTGCCTGCTTGTATTTATGGCAAAGGGTCCTTTTCATGCGGATCATCTTGCAGAAGTTGGAATCATTCATCTGAAAATTGAGACATTCCTGTCGATGAGGGGACGACATTCCCCGAGCAGCGGGGGAAATTAGGTTCAGACATGCCCAGAGAGTCTCCATGATCTCTCCATCTATCTGGCCAATGCCTTCAATGAAATTCGGCGCATATTGGACATAGCAACTGTCTTGATGTCCATGCACATGCCACAAACCGATGCCAGGAATGATGGTCAATTCCGGTACCATTTCAAGAAATCGGCTTCAATCCACCTGAACCTGAAGGTGCTTGTTGTATTGACAGTTGATGTCATAAAAGGTGACAGCCCTGGTAATGCCTTCCATGTTGTGCTGGGCAGCCTTGCAAAGGGCATAATCCATGTTCATTTGTCTGCAAATGATGCATGATCAACTTGTGAATGTAGAACTTCATGTTCGGCTTGGCTTTCGCCTTTCTGGAAATTGACCATCGCATGAGGCACAAAGCAGCCATGGCAGGCACAAGCAACTCCCCCGATACCCGTCGACTCCAGCTTGTGCCGAGTTGCATTTGCTTGATTTACTGCCCAGTGATTGTTGCAGCTAGATTTTTACAAAGTGTCAGCAGCCTCTGTAAGATGCGCTTTATACCTGTCCTTTCCCACCATGAACCCCAGCCCATCTGCAAGCCATACTTCATCAAATGGCTTGATGGGATGCAAGTGTTTGGCTTTGAAATTACTGTCCATCACAAATGACCGGGTATATTTCCAGCTTGGAGTTCTTATCATCACTTAGGTCACTTAATTATGAAACTAGACTCACTCATCAAGTGTTTCATTTCCTGACAAGGATATGTTGATCCCAGGCTGAGGACATGTCGGGCAAAACAGTGTGAGATCTCTGGCATTTGGGGTGTTGGAACGATGACCAAAGCCATGCCATTTCATGGTCTTCAACTGCCTCCACTGTCGAGTGACTCTCATGAGCTCTCTGTATCGGTCCTTTCCAAGTGCCTTGTCAATATAATGTCCTTTAGATGAAGGAGATATATAATTACCGGAACAAGGTGAGGAAACATGCTGGAGGTCATTCGCCGGAGCTTGCTGTAATAGTTCATCGCGGAGGTGCCGCATTCTAGGTTGTCCAATAGAAAATTGTCAAGCACTCTGAAGGTGAACACAGTCTTCGGTTTGTTGAATGATGCAGGGAAAAATCCATGTCAAAACATTTGAATGTCCGGACTCATGGTGTTTGAACAATCGCAGCATCGAACCTCGAGGTGATGAACTCCGGACTTGTCAACGATGACCATGGTGTTTTCCTTAGGCTGGAACTCTGGTCCCAATACGGATGGTAGATCTTCAGGCTCAAGCTGGTCCTTGGGTTCATCTCCTTCAAACAAATCCCACCTATTTGCGAGTGCAGGACATTCTTTGCCATCATGACCAAGGTGTATGACGAGTCCGACATGAGCGAGACAACTTTGCTCGAAGAACTGACCATTCCATTGACTGATCCAGTGGAAAGGATTGCGATGATGTTGACTCCTGCAACATCCCGTGCAATAGAGTGGCTCCCCGAGACAATCTTGACATTTGTAGACCCCATCCTGATCGCAGACGACACATCTCCTATCTTCTGGAGGAGCTTCTCAATCCAGGAGGTGATGCAGATATGATTCCTGCCTTGGGAGCCATTGCCTCAGGTAGTCATTCTGGCTCTGCATGTGTTATACTTAGCAATGTTTGAACGACACTCCAAAGGTTTACATTCACTTGCCATTGTTTTTGGAAGCTGAAAAGGCTCGAATGAGCCTTGGTCTTGCTCATAAGTATTATCAGGACAGTCTTCCCAAGTAGGTGGTGCCGGAACAGGCTGAAGTATTGGTGATTCCAGGGGAGAGTTAGGCATGGACCTGTAGGCATGTTGTTTTGCGCTTGCAAGCGGGACCTTGACCCAAGTTTTCCTACCTTTTCTGCCCCTTGCTTCTACCCTGTGGTATTTTTGCAGCGGGGTGCATAGACCTATCTTCATCTTATTTTCAAATGTTGCAAGAACAGCATTAGCTCAGGAAGGTCGCACAAATTGTTATTCCAATGCTATGTTTGTGCAGTATTGGTTGTTCATTACAAATTATTTCCATTAATGGCATCATGTCCGATATGGGTTGATTAACCAACTGTTAGGCTTTGGTCAAAGTTGAACTTCAAACCAATATTAGTTATGCCTTGCTTACCCTCAGCACATTCACCAATCAGAGTCACCATGGCTGTTACGACTTGGATGGTATCTGTTGGCGACGCTCAAACAGAGCGTGTGTCGTCAACGGTCGAGGACGTCCTTGGGCTAGCCCAAGGTTAGGGGTCTTACTTGGCGAGGTTTCGGCAAGTAAGATTTGACGCCTATGTCCGAATCGGGTAGCTTACGTCAAGCGGGTGCTAGACGATGAGCTGTATCTGCCAAGGCTTACGACACCCGAAGGTTAATTGTAAGATCGTCGTTAATTAGAAGGACGGAAGTCCGACTAGTTAACAGGGGCTTTGCTCGTCGACGAAGTCGATGAGTAAAGATCGAGACTATAGGCTTATCCGCGAAGAGCAGATAAGAAGATAGAATATAGACTGCTGGCTAGGCAGAAAGGATCACTCTGGTGAGAGTAGGAGGTCAAGAACCAAGTAGATTCAAGTTAAGGAATATGTTACATGGTAGCGAGTTTATATAGAGGACGGGAAGCGTATTAGTGGATGATAACTTGTACTACCAAGTGAAGTAATCGGTAAAGGGCATAACCATAAAAGGAAGGCACATTCGGGGTGAGACACGGGTGAACCAGAACGTGCTTGATAAGAAAGTGAGTCAAAGGTCAAAATAAGAAGTGAAACGCGCAGGGGCACGATCGTGCAACTGCGGATCTAAGTATAAGTAACATGTGCGACTGCGCACTGAGTCAGAGATCGAAAAAGGGAAAAGGGCAAAGGGGATGCGTCGTGCATCATATCATAGGTTACCAGACAGACAGTAAGGGCAAGGGGACTGTCCACAGGATCAGTCAGGTGGTGGAACGGAGCATGGGTATGCTTCGTCAGCGAAGGGATCCGGCCAGATGTACTGGCTCTGCTGAAGCGACAGATAGAGAGCGAAAGGGAATGCGAGGATGACAAGGATTACAAGGGTAAGGTCGGGGTAAGGGTATGACGCGAGGGCTGATACGAGGAGGATTAGGAGAAAAATGGTAGGGGCCCAAGCGTCTAGATGTTCTTGTAACAATGGCAAGATCAGGTCATTCCACTCACTTGTCTCCTGGAAGACATAGGGCATGTCAACCCCAGACACAGAAGCTCACGGAAACTGAAATTTCTGAGCTGAAAAACTACCTTCCTGAGTGGACTTCTGCGATAAGGAGCGAGAAGCAGGCAGTTTTCACTGCAATTGCCAGGGCTGCCAGGTTGTTTGCACCAAAGGTGGACCAAGGACAATGGAAAAAGAGGAAGCAGGTGATACATCCTTGTTGCGATGAGAAACAAAATTTTTAATGTCTTACACTTCCTTCAATGCTCAGATGTACAAGACTTGGTTGTTCAACAACAAGAAAAAGAAGGAAAGGAAGGACATGATAAAGTATGGGAGGAAATGGACACCTAGGATGGTGATCTACCAGAAGAATTGGGAAGAGGTGCTGAAGAGGATCGAGGATGAGTCCGGGGCAAAGCCAGGAGATCCTGGTATGTTCAAGCATTATCAGGCAGCTGTGAAGAGAGTCATGGCTGAATTGTCTGACGACAAGTTGGAGAAGGCGAAAGAAACCGCCGAAGAATGGTCCAACAACTGTCCTCCTCCCGAGATACAAGCACAGGTTGCCCGTAAGAAGGGACCTGCATATATGGAGCACTTTTCAAAGGAGATGTGGAGGAAATGCAGGATGAGAGTGTTTGTGTTGTCAGCTTGGAAGAATGAACAGGGCGAGGTGCTGTTCAGGATGTGAGTAAATTTTACCTGTCATTACAGATCTTTCAACCCAATATATTTCATGCAGGCACAATGATAACAAGGCATTAGGAGATGGGGACAGCTTCATGAAGACAAAGGACTGGGAGGACATCGAGCCGGTGTGGCAGGAGTATGTGCAGGAACAGTTCGGTGAGTGTTTAAACTGTTGATACTGGGAGGGGTGTGTTGATGGTCTCTGTGATAGGTGCCAGAGCATGGGAAGGTGGCCGACAGATGAAGGGAGGTCGCAAGAGAATCCAAAAACCAGCCTTCAAGCTCGACACTGACGAGGATGGGATGTCGTTGCTTCTGGACATCACCGAAACAAAACTTGAGAAGAAGAAGGCCATCGTCAGGGCTTTTCTCACATTGCACTATCATGAGTCAATCCTTGCTACATCCAGGACATTGTTGAATGCACCGACATAGGGATTTGTTCAGGGATCGACAAGGCAGTAGTGCCATGGAGCGCCATCCTTCAATGCCAGGATGACTTTGTGTCACGAAGATATCTTCCGGCGGATGTCGACTTGAAGGAGCCTTCCAAGTTGCAAAATTGGTACACGACCGCCCTCCTCAATTTCTGGTATGCTCAGCAGGAGAAAGGCGAAGGATCAACATTCACGTTCAAAGTGTGGAAGAACAAAGATGGTGACATGGTAGCATCAGTCGTATCAGGCGGGTTGCCTTCCCATCGGACGGGTAAAGTCAAAAACACACAAAGGGTAATCATCTGAAGCCCTAGGGATTCATCCTCCGAATCCGACAGTGATTTCGGGAATGACACTCATCATCCGGATGATGATGATGATGACTCGGCTGATGGTAGATCACCGAAAAGGAGAACCAGAACCGGAGAAGGTCCTTCATCATTACATGCAGAGACGGCAATCCCACCATCAATTCCGAAGCCTTGCCCAGTCAAGCCGGCAAAATGTGGTGCACTGCTGACATCACAAACGGGAGACCTCCTGGCAGGGTTAACCAATGGCAATGAAAACATTGCTGGCTCCGAAAAGGATGTGGGGAAAGAAAGTGGTGATTGAGCCATCGGCAAGGACCACCTGGAGTAAGTCGATGCCAAAGCCATTAGACAGTACTCCTCAGGTGACAAGAGCGAGGGGAAGGAAGTGATGTACTTATCCCACACTGTCTCCCCTTATGTACATATCCATGTCATGCAATGGGAAGTAGGTTATTGGTGCGCCGGACTCGAAACATGGACCCGCTGATCGATACTTGGGCCTTGGTAGTCCTTGGATAGTGAATAAATCGGAAATGGGAGTTCCATACATCCATAATTAAGTAGTTCACATGACGTGAGTGGGTTCATAAACATTCAAAAGTTCACAGGTAATTTGTCTACTAACAGAAATTGTGTAATTTACATTTGAATTTGATCTTCAAACCTAAGAATGAGGGAATCTAATACCTTGAGCATTTTGGAAGTCAAATGTTCAGCTCGTTGCAGCCTCCGGAGGTCTTCATTAGCTCTTCTGAGTTTGTCAGATGTTTCTGCCCAGGCAGTTCGGAATGGTCTCTCAGCCTCCAGTAGTTGTTGGATGGATGGGTCAGGAATATGTCCGTGTCGCTGTTTGTAATCCCGGACCCGATCTTGAATGGATTGAACTAAGAGACAAATTAGCAGAAAGATAAATGATTATATCAGATACTCACTGCCCATGTGATTGTAAGACTCAAATGGCTGGAGATCCCGGACCATGGCAAGCAATTCTTCATAAGTGACATCCGGGTGTGGCAAATCATGTTCAGGAGATTTTGCAATTGCTTGGGATATGAATTAAGTAGGGAAGCCTGGATGGTAGGGGGAAACCTACATGCCCTGGAGACTACCAGCGCACCTGAGACCTCACTATCCGAATCAGCACGCTCCAGCTTCACCTCACAGTCGATCAGATCATCTTCAGGGCCTAAGTACATGTCTGGGTGAATGAGGGAACCCGGTTGATCAGGTTGGGCTGGAAGAGATTTATCTGTAAGGGTTTAGTAAACAGGGATGGTGAGATGTTTTGATTGACAGACCAGGGAATTCTGGCATAAAATCTTCATCAGGCCCGAGGTACAGGTCAGGGTGGATGGGTACATCCGGGTGATAAGGTTGGGCCAGAGGTGATGGATCTGTCAGGCTTTAGTAACCAGGGATGGCCGGACTTTTCATTTCAATGGATGGACATACCCGGGATCTCAGTCATAATATCTTCATCAGGCCTGAGGTAGAGATCTGGGTGGATGGCTAGACCCAGCATATCAGGTTGGGCCGGATGTGACTGATCTGCAAGATTTTTGTGTCAACATGCATTATTAGATGATTTAAATAATACTCACCATGCATCCCAGCCATCAGGTCATCCTCAGGCCCGAGGTATAGGTCCGGGTGAACTGGGAGGCCTGGTTGATCACATTGAGCCGGAGGTGAATGATCTGTGAGATTTGAGTGACCATGGATGATTAGATGGTCATCATATCAATTGATAAACTCACTGGAAATTGAAGAAAAGACCTCCGGACCATTGGATGACACAGAACATGATTCTGGGTCATCAGCCGGCCCAAGATTTAATTGATCTGAGGATGTCCGGTAAATTGATAAGGTATGATGGATGTTGAACATACCTGTTGACATCCGGGACACAGTTGATTCATCCACATCCATTGAGTTATATTCAGTGACCGGAGGGTCATTGAATCTAACTGTAGCAGGGGAGTTCATGTTCTGTGATGAACTGATGAACTGATGAACTGATTATTGATAACTTCGAAGTTGAACACAAGGCGCCGGCAATTGCTGAAAGTTGAACCATGACCAAACAAGGACAAACAATCAATGAAATTTTACATTGTTAATCACTGATCTTGTTTTTACTGAAACATCATCCTTGTGATAACTGATTTCAACCTGATCTCAACACTTTCAACACTTTCAATTGAAATACCATGTCTGCTCCAGTTGACACCTCTTTGACTGGCCTCAAGGAAATCACTGCCAAGATCATGGCCATCATCACCGGCACTCGGCAGCTTCCTCCGGGCCACAGCCACTTTTCTCTGACAACCCAGGTCAGTACACTTGTGGTATGTAGCATTGTCATATTTTCTCCACTTCATTTTTTTCATCATCCAGGTAGGCCGATGCGGTCCGGCAATATGGGAGTGGTCCCTACCTTCCGGGTCTCATGTGTTTGTGCTCGAGGGAGTTAATTCATGTTCGGGGCATGACTCCTCAGGTCTGGCCCAACTGGCACAGCATCGGGTATGACGATACCCGTTTGTTGACACACCCCTGGCGCAGCAAGGTTCTTGCCTGGGAGGAGTTAGGTGATCACACCTTTGATCTCCTGGTCGTGTCCAGTCCTTCAGTAGGTCCAATTCCTGTGGATTTCCACCCTTGCCTGTCATTGCCAGGCCTTCTACCAACCCTGCCTCTGAGTCCCAGGAGAAGGGAAAAGGTAAGGCAGTTGTCCCGGACCCAGAACCGGAAGTGGAAGGGAGTCAGAAGAGGAAGTCTCCAATGATTCCGGCACTTCCCTCCCAACCCCCAAAGTCCGCTATGAAGACTCGGAAGCTGGCGAAGACCACCGGCCTTGCCAAATTCAGGGCATTTGTTGAGTCGGAAGATGAGGAGGACTCGGTCACTCAGGTATGTCCTCTGGTTCATTGTTTCATTGTCTTACTCATTTTGTAGCCGATTTCATGTGGGGTTCTGGAGGTTGTCCTCCCCCGGCTCTCCCCAGATGTTGGCAGGACGTCTGGATCACCTTGGTCACCCTGGAGCCCAAAGAAGAAACCCTTTGGGCCTGCTACGGTAAGTCGCACTTTTGCATCTGGCACTCGGGTGAGTCCTTACAATGTGCTAGGCAATTGCCGGCAAACATCTGGAGGTCATTGAGCCCCCTCAGGCAACTCCCGAACCTCTGGTAGAGGCACCCCCAGTCATCAATGCAGGTGATATACTCATTCCCGGACCCATAAGTACACCATTGAGACTTGGTGTGTCTATGAACTGACATCTTGCACAGAACAACCCTTGCCAGGCTTGCCACAAGATGGAATGGCCCTGTGCAACTCGGTTTGACAAGAGGACCGGCGCCCCGCGCATGTCCTGTGTCTACTGTACCACCAAGAAGATCAAGTGCATCTTGGTGAGTATGGGAACCTCGCCAAAACACGTTCAAGGTCAATCTGTCACCCGGACCACCAGGAGGACCAGATCCAGGACCCCTTTCAAAGCTCCCTCCAAAGCTCCGGCCGCCTCGCAAACCACCAGCCGGACGCGGAGTCAATCTCAGGTCTCTTCTGTCACTCCTGGTCCATCTGGTGCCCAAACACCAAAGGCACAAACACGCGGTTGCAGCAAAACTGTCACTGCTGCCAAGGAACCTACACCTGCACCAGCTCGTAAGTCACCCAAATTTTCTATGTCCATCTGACATAATGTTCCACCTGTAGCAGTCCCATCTTCGACTTCCGGAGTTCCTTGTTCAGCACTCAATGTGCCAATGCCGGATTTGCATGCCATGGCAATGGCGATTCGGGAGGGTGCAGCTCAAATTGCCGCTCTCGAGGAGTGTGTTTTTGAGCAGGATGCTAAGATTGACACCCTGCAATGCCTTCATGAAGGCCTTCGACGCGAAATCATTCTCCAGCACCCAACATTTCCACTTCCGGACGCCCAAGGTGATGCAACATCATTTTTGCTTCATCAACCAGTCCCTCCGGCCATGTCAACCCCCGCATCCGCACTTCCTCCTCTCATTGACCTGTCTATGGAAGGGATGGAGCCCAACCCCCCCAACCTCCAGGATGAGTCTGCCATTGATGGACTCATATTTGAGCTCAACCAAATTTATCCTGAGGTTTCACAGATGCCCGGTGAAATTGTGAAACCGGATGATCTGGGCAATCTTTTCCCAGAGTATGATTCAGTTGAAGAGATGGATGTTCAAGTGAAGGGTGAACCTTCTGGTGATGATGTTGACATGACTACATAATTAGATAGTCATAAATGTATATGCAATGTTTTCAATCAATGTTACCTTTGTTATCATTAACTTATTGATTCACCGAGTGCCGAGACCCGAGTGCCAAGTGCCGAGTGCCGATGCCTGAAACCTGAGGCTTGAAACACAACACTGGACACAATACACCATATGGTATTTCTTACAAATTTCACAGAGGTCCCATCGCAAAACCACGAAACTTATCAGTGACTTATTGATTCACCGAGTGCCGAGACCTGAGACCCGAGACCCAAATGCCAAGTGCCGAGGCTCAAAGTCCGAAACACAAAATGAGTGGAAATGCACATTTCGCAAAATTGTTAACATGGAAATATTCAATTGTCTTCAACAGTTTGCTGGAAGTCCTTTGACAATCCCCGAGCCCAAAACCCGAAACCCGAAAAACCCGTAATGAGCTCTACGGGTTTTCTGGGTTTCGGGTTTTGGGCTCGGGAATTGTCAAAGGACTTCCAGCAAACTGTTGAAGACAATTGAATATTTCCATGTTAACAATTTTGCGAAATGTGCATTTCCACTCATTTTGTGTTTCGGACTTTGAGCCTCGGCACTTGGCATTTGGGTCTCGGGTCTCAGGTCTCGGCACTCGGTGAATCAATAAGTCACTGATAAGTTTCGTGGTTTTGCGATGGGACCTCTGTGAAATTTGTAAGAAATACCATATGGTGTATTGTGTCCAGTGTTGTGTTTCAAGCCTCAGGTGTCAGGCATCGGCACTCGGCACTCGGGTCTCGGCACTCAGCACTCAGCACTCGGCACTCGGTACTCAGTGATTCAACCATTGAGTTTTGGATTTCGGTGTTCTGGGAGTAACACTTTCATGTCAACAATTTTGCAACATTTAGTCTTCCACTTGTTTCAAGTTGCAGGTTTCAGGCCTCAGCACTCGGCACTCGGCACTCAGCACTCGGCACTCAGCACTTGGCACTTGGGTCTCGGCACTTGGTGAATCAATAAGTCAATGATGAATTCCAGGGTTTTAGGCTCGGCATGCGGTGAATTTTGTAAGAAATTCCATATTGTGTATCGCTTCCAGCCTCAGGTTTCGCGGCTCAGGTTTCAGGCTTCGGCACTCGGCACTAGGTGATTCAATCAGTCAGTGGTAACACTTTCGGTTTTGCGGTTCAGCTCATGGCACTCAGTGATATGTCTCAGGACATCAATATTTCACACATTCCTGCGAGTATCTAGTGTCCAGTCTGGAGCTTCCGGTCATTGGGCATCTGGAATTCGAGACAGTGATTTCTCGTTGAAAAATGGATGTTGTACCATGGGATTCAATTTTCGGGTGTTGGGACTCAGTGATCCATGCATGTCAGACAAGTGCTTTATATATCTATATAGTAAACCAATACCTTGGCCTATACGTCTACACAATATCTCCCTACCTTGGCCCACCAGTCTATATCATAAATAATTTTCTGCACTCTTGGTCCACCCGTCGATATAATAAATGTTTTACCGCTCACTCGGCCCACCTGTCTATATAATAAATATTCCACCGCTTTCTCGGCCCACCTGTCTACAAAATTATTCCTGTATGTCGGCCCACCTGGCTATACAATGTACCTTTACATCGGCCCACACATCTATATAATAATGATTGCCTCTCATCTCCCTTCAGCCTAGCTGTCTATAATATACATGTCCATCCTACTGTACATATTCCCCGGATGGGCCCACCCATCTCCATCGGTAAAAATATTCATCCCGGCCCATCCGACATCATCAAGCATATATATAACATTGGCATAGATGGACCCACCCGTCTCCATCAGAAATAATATTCCCCCCGGCCCATCCGTCAACATCGGGGATATACATCACATCAGCCCATAGTCTGCTGGCCCATCTTATATGGGATATTATGTAGGTCGGGTGACCCATATAATATGGAATTTGTCACTGAAGGGGCTCACTACAATTGGTATAAAATTAGCTGGGTGTCAACACAGAGATCAAGAGACTCACCGAGGGAATGTAAGCTACATGGTGGCATGCAGAGGCGGTCGGTTTACCTCGCGTGTATTTGGATTGATTACCAAAAAAAAGATACAAAGGCCAAAGTGAGGCATCCCCAAAACTCGCCAGATGGGTGGCATCAGACCAGAACATGAGTGAAGCTATGGTGCACTCATACTCGTCCCCTGGTTCATGAGGTAAATTGAGTATTTCTGCACAAGTCTCTAGCATCTCAGGGCTAGAATAAGCTTCTGAGACGACTTCAATCAAACGGTCCTCAGAAGATTGCCAGTACTCGCGATAAGGCATCATATTAAATAAAGCCACAACATCATTCATGAACACAGACTCAATGACATCGATGATCAATTGATGATAGATGCCGGGGATCTTGAGTTCTGGAGCATCCATCTCTGATGACCACTTCATACCTTCCTTTGGTAATTTAATCTTGACAGCCAATCACTGCCAGCTATATTCCTCACAAAATGGATTGGCCTTGTCCTGTAGATAGCTATCAATATTTTTTGCTTCCCATGCATGGGAAAATAAAAGAGCATTGGTGTGATTAAAAAGTGGATCACCGACAAACATTGTCAGTCATTGCAACTCAGCAACAGATTGCTGACTGGTTCCAGAATATTGATAGGCCATTAAAAGGCTGGCAGTAGGGTTAGAGAATGCCAAATATAAATCATCATTGCTGATCTCATTTGACAATAACCCTTCGGTGATGCGACTGGTAGTCCGATCGCCCCCAGCGAGTGTCGGTGTGTCAGTGACCCTCTTGAGTGTGTTATTGCAGGGCAATAACGTCGGACGGGTAGGATAAACACGGAAGAGACCTGAGTCATCTGGAGGTGTTTCAAATGGATCAAGGGTGGGGTGCTCAGGTGTTGGTGGAGAAGGTGTACGAGGCAGGGGTTAGGAGGTTGATCTGTGTGTTGATCTGTGTGTTGATCCGTGATGACATCATGTCCGCATTGCTGATGGGCAGTGGGTGGCATGTGGGAAAGGTGAGTCATGCTCCCTGGCAGGAAGTCCGCAAATTGAGCGGGCATGCGTATTCTGCGTCCAGAGTGCTGAGAGACGATGGGGTTAATGGGAGGAGGTGAGGGAGATGGAGGGCGAGCCATTTCAACCTAGAAAAACTAGTAAGTACAATACAGCTGTCAAAAATAATATGTACATCGTTGATGTCAATGTCTTCGTGGTTGATGAACATTGGGTCCTGGAGCTCTGGCTGTTCTGGGACATTGACATCATTAGAAATGCATGCAGTGGACTCATCACGATGGGCCCTCTTGTCTTTCCTCTTTTTCTTCTTCTCTAATTTTCGCTTGCAGGCAAAGATTTGATCAGTAAACATAAGATTATGAGTGCACTAAATGTTGCACTGCAAGCCAAGCAGCAACGGTCATCGACCATGAAAAAAACGAGGAGAAACAGAAAGGCGACATGTTTTCACTAGTTGCAAAACTTACGAGCAATCTATAACATGCACCGGCATATTTAAATGGTCCATTGTATATTGCAGTAGTCTACTCTGAATATACATTAAGTTGACTGAAAGTAAGAGTCAAACATTAATCTTGATAGAAAATGTAAAATAGGCATACCACTAACTAGAAAAATCAAATCTCACTATCATGGAGAACCACCAGTGTTAGAATTATGCTGACTCTGCATCAGAGTATCCTGTGAATCTTCACAAGGATGTCTCCCCTGGCTCGGAGGTGAACTCTCACATTGGCAAAACATAGCATAACTTGTCCTAGTACACATAGGAACTTCAGTAGACATTTGAGTTGGATGTGCAACTCACCTGCCACCAGATCCATATGAGACATTGAGACTTACCTGTGTTGAAGTAAATAATAGCTATATGATCGAAAATAAGGGTATACGATCGAAAGTAAGGTGACATCATGATCAACATATGAAATTCAACCTCCATCGGAATCTTGCGAAATATTAAAACTCAGTTGATGCGGCTATATTTGTCAACCCCATTCAATTACCAATGTCTAACGTCACTGCTGCCGACACTGTAAACATCTTTGGCGATGTTGGAGCTCACCTGAAGGCATATAGGATACATAGCCCCGAGAAGACGGCTGAAAAAACAAAGAGGTGAGGTATTTCATTTCCACACAATCAGATGAATCTCATCTTGATATTCTAGGAGATCATATCACAAAGAGCTCACTCCGCGTGACCAGTGCATACACATTGCACAATGGACCCCACGTGGCCTGGACATGTTCTGCAATCTTAAGCAGGTAATTCAGGTGTGTTTACTTTTAGAGCAAGACAAAGTGGCCGAGGATGGAGATCCAATGGAAGAACACGCCAAGATTTCCCATACTAATATCCTCAATAATATGTAAGTCCATTTGAGTGCGTATATGCGCATATATGCATGTTAATTTTATTTTAAGTGATGATCACACACGTGCACGCTACAAACAAACATTTGAATATGTCATGGAGCATGCCCCTTATCTCGAGAATTTGATTGGCAAGAAGAAAAAACGCGAGGAGCTCGCACATGTCATTAGTGAGGTATTTGAGTTCTGACATACTTGTATTGATTGCAGCTCACTATTCTCAGATGCAGAATATGATTAACCACACCCACTTGGAGGATGCCAGTCGTCTCAAAAGCTGCATGGGCTCTTATGCTGTGCCAGTCCCAGATAAGGCCCTCGTCAACCCTCCAATTGGCAATGACAGCAAGTCTCGTTCCAAAATGGGGTTTAATCACCCACAGCTTGGCCCAATGCTTTGTCCCGCAAAATTTCTTATTGAATACAACAAGTATCCGGCCGAGTAAGTTTTTTTTTTGGCAACTTAGTAGTACTAATTCTATTACAGGTCAAGGAAGAGAATACAAGCTGGGTCGCTGAAGGTGACCACAGCATTGTGGCCCGCTTACCTGTATCCAGGGGACAGTCCAGGTGAAGACTTTGACCCTGACAATATTATTGAGGGACTTTTCAGGGGATATCTTTTGGAGCGTGTAAGTGTTATTTTCTCTCTAATGACATGTAACATGTGTTGCTAATATATTACTCAGGTCGCCAAACATATCTTCACATCTCCATCATCTGCCCTCTCAGCAAGTGCTTCCAATGCAATGCGCCCATGCAACACAAAGATTCACGGCATGTCGACAGTCGAAGCTGAGCACATTGCATATGCAGCTGTCCAGGTTTGTTTTTGCTTTCCTTTCATTCTCTTACTTATTCTCTACTTTCCAGGCACACTTTGGCATTAGCTCCCTCAACAAATGGAAGGACAAGGACGGCCTTTTCATTACAGCAATTTTTATTACAGGATCATGCGCCTCATTCATGAGAGGAGAGATGGGGAGTGGGTCAACTCCCTAATTGCGTATTTTAATGAGTGAGTTCTCAACTATTTCATTCTGCTATCTAATGTCTATTTGCATACAGGAAATTATTTGGCAATGAAACCGGTGTCAAGCCTGCTTATTCTGGAGGGGCTGAGTGTTTGGACGATGACGACATGGTGGCAATGGAATGGCAGCTCGCTGCGCGCACCACACAGGCATCCCAGTCCTCCGCACTTAATCAAGAACAGCAACTGCATCAATCGTGCTCCCTTACCCCTGCTCCACCTGCATGCTCCCTTACCCCTGCTCCACCTACATGCTCCCTAACCCCTGCTCCACCTACGCGCTCCCTTACCCCTGTGCGCTCACCTACCCCTGCTCCACCGGCACCCATCACCTCGCCCATTGGCAATTTCTTTCATGACAATCCTTTGACAGAAGAGGAGCAAGACGTCCCTCAGCCGGCCAAATGCACATGAAAGGGCCACCCTACGAATTCTAGGAATGCTTCAACTAAGTGCAAGAATAAGAAATGATTATTCAAGGCAAGTCAGAGCATTTTTGGAATCTGCCCAATTCTAATGACCTTTGCTTGTTTATATTTAGTATCACACTACCACTTCATTTTATTTTTGTCTCCATTCACATGCTTGTTACTGGAACATTTGCCACTGTACTGCCCTTATAGACTTAGGATATTCACATGGACTCACAACTGCTCGCATGTATCTTTTTCACTCTGCCGCACTTGAATGATGTCACTCATATGTTTGTTTTTTCATCATACTCATGTCCGATTGATCAGTACACAGTTACCACATTTATGCTACATTATATGTTACCATATTACAATGTATTTGAATAGTGCAATGATATGTTGTTATTGTTGGCATCCGAAGAATACGAAGGAGAAGAGGGCGAATGGCTGGTAGCCGAGAGGGAGGATGGAGAAATGGCTGAGAGAGGGAACCGGACATACGTGTCATCGTCGGCAACACTCTGCCATCTTTTTAAGTATATTCTCGCTTATATCAAAATAACTGGCGCACTCACCTATAAAGGCTGATGTGCCAGCGCCCCAAACATCTCAGTTTCGTAATGAATACTGAGATTTGTACCTTTATCTAGGTACAAATGTTTGTTAATAAAAGAATTTCATAATGAATACTGAGATTCATACCTTTATCTAGTGTCGGCTTACCTCCTCCATTCTACAAACGAGAGGTTATGAGCCCTGCCCTGGCTATGGACACAACACTCCCCGCCACCAGCTTGTCCCTATTTAACGTACCCAAGTTAGCCAAAGATGGCACAAACTGGATCATGTACAAAGAACGTACCTTAACGGTGATTGGAGCAAGAGGTTTGATGTGTTATGTGGATGGCTGGGCAGTAAGACCTATACCGTTCAAGGTGGATGCAAAGACCAGCGCTATAATGAAACAAGATGGCATGGTGCCTACCCTGGCAGAGATCGACAACCTCGATAAGAAGCTGGACGAATATCATCAGCGAAACTCATTAGTCAAGCAACAAATCTTCAGTACAATTACCGACCACTTGTTGCTCTGAGTTCAAAAATTTGAGTGCGCCTCTGACATCTGGAAAGAGGTATGTCAGATACACGAGGGTAAAACTGAGCTCGTGCAGATCGACTTGCATTGACGGCTACAGGAGACACGGTGCGAAGAAAACAGGGATGTACATGCACATTTCAGTGAGATCTTGCACCTGCGGGAGTTACTAGCGGGGATGGGAGCCTCTATGGAAGAAAGAGACTTCTATGCCATTATCCTCAGATCTCTCCCAGAGTCCTACTGCCCTATTCTCTCCTCGATCAATGCAGCCGCAAAGATCACCCAGAAGCCCCTAAGCATGCACGAACTCGTCAACATCATAATGGAAGAGTACAAACATCGACTACTCACTGATAGACGACCCTCCAAGCAAGGCGGAAACTCGGCTCTCTCTGTGCGAACCAACAACTTGAAGTCAAAGAACTCAGATGGCGCCACCCCCACGTATAATCCCGATGCAACTTGTCAAAATTGTGACAAGAAGGGTCACTGGAAAAGTGACTGCTGGAGGAAAGGGGGAGGAAAAGAGGGTCAGGGACCAAAGCAGAAGCAGAGATGAGGAGGACGCACCCAAAAGCAAAGTGCCAATGTGGCAAAGGAATCTGAGGTGTGCGACAACTACGCGTTTGCGACGTCGGACCTTGCGAGCATTTCCAAGAGCATGCACGTGCCCATTGAGCGCCGGGGAGCTATTGTAGACTCTGGCACCACATCCCATTTCTGCCCAGACCGCTCCAAATTCCAGAATTTTGTCGAAATCACCCCGCAGAAAGTCTACACTGCGAACAGATCGAGTGTTAGCGCCACTGGACAAGGCAATGTCAAAATTGACCTACCATTAGGTGCAAAATGCACCATCATAACCCTCAAAGACACCCTCTACACCCCCACCATGGCTTTCACCCTCTTTGAAGGCACAATGTGCAAGATACTATTGCATGGTCCAAAGCGAGAGGTTATCGCTGAGATACCACAGGTTGAGGGGCTCTACAGCATGGCGAGGAAGGGTAGTCAGCTTCATCATGCGCATGTTGCTTGCGAGAAACTCACCTTAGGTCAACTGCACCGACGACTCGGGCATGTCGGGCAAAGCGCACTTGCGGAAGCCATTAAGAAGGGCCTGGTGGTAGGAGTGGACCTGGACCCACAGTCCAAGGCCGAATTCTGCGATACCTGCGTGAAAGCTACGTCAGCACAGCAGCCTTTCCCCAAGGAGTCGAAAACATGGGCACTTACCTATGGGGAGCTCGTCCATACAGACCTTTGGGGGCCAGCGCAAACAACGAGTCTAGGTGGCTGCAAGTACTATATCAGCTTCACGGACAACTACACTCGTCAAACGAGGCTCGAGTTCCTCAAGCAGAAAAGCGATGCACTTACCGCTTTCAAGGCCTACAAGGCATGAGTCAATTGCCAGTCGCCAGGTGTCCGCATATGGAAAGTCTGTTTGGACAGAGGAGGAGAGTATCTGAGCGCAGAATTGACAAGCACCTGCGTGAGCGAGGCATTGACCGACAGCTCACAGTCCACGACTCACCTCAGCAAAATGGTGTTGCTGAACGCCTCAACTGCACCCTCATTGAGCACGTGCGCGTGATGCTCCTGGGCACGGACATGCCGAAATACCTGTGGGCCGAGGCAGTGAGCTATGCTACATGGCTGAAGAATTGCCTACCTTCGAGGGCCATACCAGGCAGCACGCCCTACGAGCTGCTGCGCAAGTCTAAGCTCAACCTTTCACAGGCCCACGAATTTGGCTCCAAGCTCTTCGTGCATGTGCTGGACGGGGGAAAATTGGAGGCAAGGGCAGAGGAGGCCATGTTTGTGGGGATAGATGCTGAGAGTAAGGGTTACAGGGTCTATTGGCCAGACCGGCGCCGAGTCAGCGTGGAGAGGAATGTCGTCTTCAGGCCAACCATGCCAGCCACTGGTGTGCTGGATGAGGGGGAGCCTCCTATGGTATCTTCTAAGGTAAACAAACCACTTACCATCCATCAACTGCAGCCATCCACTCCAGATCCTCAACCACAACCACAGCCATCCATTCCAGATCAACCGCAACTGCAGTCATCCACTCCAGATCCTAGGCCGATGAGGTCCAGACCAGCCCCAGGTTGCTATAAGGCCCTTAATTAGGGCCATAAGGTAGCCCTAGCCATGGAAGACCTGGTAGAAGCGTCAGCAGTGGATCTAATGGGAGAGGAAAGTCATATTCACCTTGCCCTGGCAGCTGCAGACCCAGAACCGACCCTCCAGCAAGCCTTGAACGGTCCCAATGCCGTTGAATGGCAAGAAGCGCTCGATTACGAGATAAGTCAGCTCAAAAAGCTGGGAACATGGGAAGTCGTCGACTCACCTCAAGGTGCCAACATCATACCCTGTCACTACATCCTGGCAACAAAACGAGGACCCGACAGTGAGAAGCTGAAGCTTCGCACACTGTAAAGAGTAGATCTGGGCTGGGCTCTACTGAATGTGAGTCCCTAGTCCTGAGAGATGCGAGTATGCTTCGTCCCAAGAGACAACCTAAGAACTACCTTGATAATGCAAGGGAAGTCTTATACAGTCAGAGAGTAGACAAGATATAGAAGTAAACCTCTTCAATGTTCGTCCGTAGTTCCGAGACTACTTCCGAAGTACCGAGAAACTTGTCCGATGCGACCGAAGGTCGTCTGAAGCTGCAAAAGTGTTGTCCGAAGTAGCGCGATGTGCGAAACGTCTGAAGTCCAGAACTACACTAATCTATCAGAACTCAAGAATAACGAAGTGCAAAATTGGCAGCGGTCTAGCCAAACAATTGTTCCGAATGAACAAAGATCGATTGCGCAGTTACGATTATACCGAGGTGACTCTACTAATTACTACTTGAAGTACGGGAAGTGAAGTGAAGTATCAGTTGCCAGTGAGTGAGATTATATCCTACTTCTGTGAGAGACCGGAATCCATAGGCGAAACTAGCAGCAAGATAAGCAAGTCCGAACCTATGTAATAAGCTGCGAGGCGTGCAGGAATGCAAGTATACATGTAATAAGCCATGATGCATACTGCTTATACATATTCTGAGGCTCCTGACAGGATGCCAATGGAATTGTTATCTATGTAGCACTAAGACGTAGTCAACATATAGTTAGAATAAGGGAAAATGCACCAGTGAAGTCAAAAGGACGAGGATAGGACATGGTATGGTAACTCACAAGGTTTGGACAAGTGCGCACGGCCTTCGGAAGGTCAAGGGAGGTTGGGGAATGGTATGAACATAGGTGTTAGATTGCCTGGTTCCGAGCCCAGCGCGGCAACCATTGTTACAGCGCGTCTCATTGCGAATGGCCAGTGGCAAAAGTTCGGTGTCGATTTCTTTGACACCTTCACCCCCACTGCCAGCATGAGCATGATTCAGACGATCCTAGAAATGGCAGCTCAATGCAACTGGGAGATACACCAGGTAGATATTAAAAGTGCTTACCTTTATGCCAGTGTCAAGGAGGAAATATACATGTGCGCACTGCCCGAATACCTGAAGGAGGATCAGCGAGGAAAGGTGTTGAGACTGAGGAGGAGCTTACCTGGACTGAAACAGGCCGGATATGAGTGGGCTGAAGAGTTAGCAGGAGTATTCCTGAAGATAGGCTTCAGCAGGTTGAAGGTAGATCAAGCCACCTACTACAGACACACCTTGAACAAACACATCGTCATCACAGTGTCCATTGATGACATGGCCATGACAGCAAACGACATCGCCCATTTTTGGAACTTCAAGTCCCAGCTCCAGCAATTCTTCGAGATATCGGATCTGGCTGAGCTAAAGTGGTTGTTAGGACTCAAGGTAATGAGGGATAGGAGAGCATGCACCCTTACCTTGTCGCAGAAGGCGTATATTGCCACCATTGTCGAGTGTTTTTTGTTTGGGTGACACTAAGAACGTCCAGACCCTGATGGAACCTGCAGTAACCCTGTCTGTAGATCAGTCCCCTGCAACACACACCCAACTTGCAGATATGCGCGACGTACTGTACCAGCATGCCATAGGCTCCTTGATGTATGCAGCCACAAGCACGTGTCCGGACATCGCCTTCACCATAGCAACATTATTGCAATCCATGCGAAGTCCCAGTAGAGCGCACTGGGAGGCAGCAAAGCGAGCCATGCATTATCTGAAAGCAACAGATGACATGGAGCTCACCTTAGGACAGACAGATGCGGGCCTTGAAGCTTTCGTCAATGCGGATTGGGCGTCACAGCCCCACTGACAGTCGATGTCAGGATATGCCGTCATGTTCAATGGGGACCCATAGCCTGGAGCACATGAAAACAGCTGTTAATTGAGCTATCTACAGCGGAGGCAGAGTATATAGCACTCACTAGCGTGGTCCACAAGTTACTCTTCCTCCAGCTCCTCATCACTGAACTCTATGAAGCCCCTACTCTCCCCATACCTATCCAATGTGACAATCAAGCTGCAATTGCATTAACGTCCACAGGCAAGTTCCACTCTCAAATAAAGCATATTGACCTTCGATATCATTTTGTCCGTGGTCATGTGAAGGACGGCATCTTCCGGCTCGTATACTGCCCGACCAACGATAATATTGCAGACACGTTCACCAAAGCGATGCCCCGTCCATGGCTCCAACGTCTGAGAAGCATGATGGGTTTGGATGCAGCTCGAGGGGGAGTGTTGGCATCCGAAGAATCCGAAGGAGAAGAGGGCAAACAGCTGGTAGCCAAGAGGGAGGATGGAGAAACAGCTGAGAGAGGGAACTGGAATAGAGGATAACTGTTGCGAGCACCTCCAAACGGAGAAGGACACATACGTGTCATCGTCGGCAACACTCTGCCATCTTTTTAAGTATATTCTCGCTTATATCAAAATAACTGGCGCACTCACCTATAAAGGCTGATGTGCCAGCGCCCCAAACATCTCAGTTTCGTAATGAATACTGAGAAAGATAATGTCACATGGCAGCGAGCTGGAACATGGCTTTGCACATATCACAACTCTGTAACATTCCTCTAACTATATCAAAAAAATTGATTCCTTGTATTATCATATATCTGACACCCGTTTGTAGATATTCATCACAGTCCATACAGTGTGTCACAGCTGTTACAGGTACAGGTCTATATATAGTTAGGTATAGGATGAGCAATTTTGGTGATGAAAGCACGTGATGCAGAACACAAGCTTCCACTCGACATAATTCTATTTTAGATACTTGATAGAAATAGTATTATTTTACCTTGCACATAAGAACAGACAACATGACTGAATGTGGAAGAGATTCATGATTGTTGGAGACTAAAGACAATGTTTGCACATGCTGGTGCAAGTTGGACAAAGGCCCTTCGGAGATACTGACTGCCTAAAGTCTGAGTAGGGTTTCAGATTTGCGAACCCAGCACGCTGCCAAACACGTCCTATGATAATGAGACTCGTGACTTAGTCCCCTTGAGTGCTAGTGCGCCACAGGGAATTTTTGGTTGTTTATTTGTCATTGACCAAATAAAACGAAAGGCATAAAACATACGCCGTGTCTGTCCGAATCCCCCATCCAGGCTTGACAATACCTGCGTCTGTCGTCCGCTTTCCAACCACCTCGGCCGCTTCGGGTTTCATTCACGCCATTATGCTTTCCATACTGCCGTTGAGCTCTTCGCTGCTTCCAGCCACAGCTTTTATTCCTTAGCTGGAATAGAATCTAATCCTAATCGCTTAATACCCGGGGGAGAACAAACATCTACTTGCATGGACCACAAATACTGAACAGCGACAGTGTTTTAATGGGTTTGGGCCAGGTCTCGACGGTGGCCTTCCATGTGCGCCTTGGCGTACACTCTGGGTCACGCACAGATCTTTTAAAGGTCAATCTACCTAGTGTCGCTCTTGGAATGCTTGTAATTCTGTCCTAATCGTATGCCTTCTCACCTCGTGGTCCGTATCTCTGAGCAAGTCAACGCACGTATCTCCCACCGGTCAGAGTCGAAGACTCTCAGTCCGGCGTCTTTTGCATGTTTTGCCCGCCGAAAGGGATGCTGCTTGCTTAGTTGTCCTTCTTGGGACCGGGCAAGTGTGCATAAGCTTAAAGCGCGAACAAGCGCAGCAAACATCTTGGCTTCGTGGCGATCTGCGATGCGGAACATGGTATGGATCGCACTTGGTTGTGAATATGGTACGCACAGGAAAGCGCTACTAACGACTGCTTTTGTTCGAGCGTTGTGGATCCAGTATTTTCTGCCGTCCCTGCAGTGACGGCTCCCCTACCCTACATGTCGGAGACATGCTACGGAGTTCCTGCGTGTAATTAGTTTGGTCCCACGCTCGCATGCCTTTCGGAATCCCCTGCGATGAGACTGACCGCCCTTAGGTCAATTGGAGGCTATTTGCTCGAGGCTGGTAGCCAAGACTAGATCTGTCGAATGTGCTTCTGCTTTTTCGTTCGTCCTTCAATCAACTGGTCTGTCTCTCATAGCCATGTGTGGCCCCCGCGCCATGAACTACTCGGGATCCCCCATTGGCAGATTCAGCTGGTCGATCCCGTCTTATTTTGTCCTTCAGTCACGGGTTTGGCTCATATCGCTAAAGTTTACCTTCAGCCCGCTGCATCAACTCTCCTACGGGAGGGGTGATAGAGATTTTTCTCGAGTTCAGTGGTGATGGGATGGCCGGGGCATCATGTCCACTTCCTAGGCGACAGGATCAACGCACTGGATGGGTAGATCTAGAAGAATTGTATGTTCATGACGGGTGAAGGGCTCATGGAAGCTGTGGTTGCCTTGGTTTACCGCGACTGGTGCACGAACAAGTAGGCGATCGGAAAGTTGCTAGCTAGTGCGTTCCAGAATAGGAGCGACGGCAGAGCAGTAACGCGCCTCTAAAACTGGAGGTGATTTGGACGTCATGTCATGGGGTGGATGAATATCGTGAGAGTGTGGATGGGTGGTCCGAGTTGTGTAACGATGATGACGGTGCAACGTTGTGCAAACGACGTTGATGTCGGAATTGTATGAGCGACGAGGATAGCCCAATGGAGCGGTGACGAGGCGAACGCACGTATGCCCTTGCTGCGCGGAGCGCATTTGGGATTAGTTCATAGCGGGGGAAGCGTTTGGCTTTGAAAGTGGGTCGCAGCCTCCTCTACAGGACTATGGGTTGGCGGCAGAGAAGGATTATGAAATCCACCAATTTTTTCAATCTCCCTGTCTTCGTGACGGTTATTATTCATTTGCTGCGCTTGTGTGGTCTTATACCTGGCTACTTAGCTGAATGTCATATATAAAACATCGAAGGCATTGGTTCCCATTAATTTGGAGATGTATATAAGCCTGATGATAAGTCTACTTTCAAGGAGGCATGTATGACGGCCAGTGGACCTTTAATGGTTCGCGAAGAACTGCCTTTCACTCAGTGCAAACATACTTCTTGACTTTAATTGTAAACTGTGAGTTCCTCGTAGTCTACATAACAGCTCTTTCAAAATTGCTGTGTAAAGGGGTCGATAGCTGCATATCTATAGCGGCCCTACATTTGTTTATCGCCGTTCGTCACATTTGTGCAACAGCCCTCTGAAATCCAATAAGGAATACAGGTATAAACTAGATCTCGACGATCTCAATTCAAATTTCACGCGTTAGAAACATGTCTCGCGTTTTGTACGGTCCACGTGTCCGGAATGACGGCATCGTAAGTACCATGTAGTGAAGTTGGAATAAAACTCACCTTGAACAGACCCAGCTCGAATTTCTCGCAGCAAATGCGGTGATGTATTCAGTACCGCGTCATGCGACGCTTGTTCCTGACTTGAGGGATTCAGGCGGCTGCCAACCCCCCAACACAAACGCCGCTGGCACCAATCAAGCAATTAACGCGCCATTGCATCAACCGTTGCGCTCGTGTGGTACAGTGGGTGGGATCGATAGTCCGGGTAGGTCCTAGGATATATATATTAGAATTCAAGCACATTGAAAACTATCTGATGCAGGCCTTTACAAACTAGCCCAGTGACTTGCTACATAAAGTGCACGTGAATATTCCCAGATTCCCAATCGACCTTAAACACCACTCACATAAAAAATGATCTTCCCTCCCGCGATAGCTTACATGGCCGGGCCCCACACATATACACGACACAAGATACATGTTCTTTCTTCGCCGAATGTCTACACAGCAGAGTTGTACCCGTTTACATACCTACCCAATGATGCTCTTTGATCCATGCGCACCCGATTCTTAATTTCCACCACACAGTACACGACATCCCAGTCATCTCGATGTGTGCTTTATAGAGGTCCATTGAGAATAGGTGCATTGCATGTACACTTAGCGCTTACCTTTGTGTTGTTATAGTAGTACGTGCCACCTAACGGACGAACCAATTCCTTCCAATCCTAGTGCATTGTGGGCCTGCCGATTGCGGTTAGAGGAAGACGGTCAAGTAAGAAGGCGACTGACCCAGGATCGTCCGTTTCCTTCGTATGGACCCATATATTTTCATCTTTACCACCTATACTATACAGACACCTATTTTGGGCACGAGTTGAGAGGAACGAAAGGTGCTACCATACACAACGGGAGAGGTGAGGATAAGCGACGCCTGGCGATGCAAAAGCTATTTGAGCATGTCGATGTCGGCAGCCTGAACGCTGAGCAATGAGTGGATGTCGGACTTACGATCAGCGTACCAGGCCATGTCGTCACATGGAGCGAATCTTCTCACCATGAGCTCTTGAGTCATCTCATACCTGCCGCATATGCACAGGAGATCTCTCGCCTGATCAATAATAAGGACAAAAAAGTTGTTCGACATGATACTTTAGAGAATTAGTACGTGTTACTTGCAGCATCATCATTTCGACGTACCGAGGCAACTGCATCGGCCAAATACCGATGCCTAGGTCAAGTCACACCACCATCTGCTCCTGAGAATCTGTAGTTAACTGGTTCATGCCGATAGTGAGCATCATATAGTATTGAAGGCGCTGTGATTGAAACGTGATCCACCAACTTGAACTCGGTACAAGAACTTTTCACGCTGATTCAGCTGGACCGAAAACGCTCGTTATTCCCTTTTTTACACATTATAGTACAAATATATTTCAAATATATGCTATAGCTATCACCAATATGGGCACGAGCGTGAGATGCGGGACGGACTCTACCTCAGTCTCCCGTGTTGAACGTTGAAACGTTGACCCCTCATACCACAATGATGTGTTACTATCCCCATCTCTTACTTATCTTTCAAGTTATGGCTCCGGTTTGAGGTCCTCAGCCGGGTCTCGTTCAAGATTGTGCTGATTCTTACAGAGCTCTCAACGGTTCGTTGGACGACGACTGAAAGACAAGGTTAATGCAGCCAATCATTATTGAGACCATCTGTGCGTAAAACTTTGAATATTTTTAAGTGCGTGTGCTGATCGCTTATACGTCTCTAGATTAACATCTATCGGGACATTGGTTCTTCTTCCTCCAGAGTACTCGAACCTATGCCAATGCCTGATTCAAGGGAAAGCTGATTAAGGAAACGAAATGCTTGGTCTTCATTCACGTCCTGTCGTATTTACAATACCTCTTCAGAATACAGAGCTCGTAGAAGGGCGTCTCGTCTTCCCGCCGAGAGCTGCGATAATCCAGGTGGGCCTCTTTTCATGAATTTCTCAAGGCTTCTCCGCTGAAGTTTGGTTCCATGTCAAGCGCAGACCAGAACCATGTTGGCATCGACAATGTGAGTGAATGTGTTTTCACATAGATGGCACATAAACATTTGAAAATAGTTTCTCAACACGAAGAAAATTATTAACGACGGATTGTGCTTGCAAAGCCTCCATCAACCCTCGGATATTACTTTCCCCTTAAACCATCCCAATTGTCTACGTTGGAAAGTAGCCTATCGCAGTGGACTTCTATATGATTGCTCGTCTTTTGGCAAACTCCACAGATTGTTTCTTGACGGAACATTGCAGAAAAACAGCTTGCATGATACGTCCGCAGTCATATTGTCGCTGGTAAAGAACGCTACGCTACCACACAAGTATGCTATTCTCTTTGACCAACGAGCATATCATCAACTGATGCCCCACAAACTTAAAGGCAGTCGGGAGGACATCGCAACGATCGCCGACCACTTGAACTTGCCGAAATGTTCTTGATTGTAAGATGCAGGGGGGTTCACTCAGGGGGAGCAGACACAGCCCTCAGTTCTGGGTTCTGGGCTCAAGTCTTAACTTGCCCAAGGACCGGTACAAGAATCCAGATTTCGTTTGTGCGCAAGGCCTTCCAGATCTTAGATAGCCAAACGTGATGTTTCTCATTTGTGGGATGCCTTTTAATACCTTTTCTGGAGTGTCTGAGTCGTGCAAAGCACCCTGGTGAACCAGCACTCGCATACGAACTCAAACAACACTAGCAAGTTACATTATTAGTACAAGCTCCGCTCGATGATTAAAACATGGGCATTCTATATTCAATATTCGACGTTCAACCAAGTCCGATTTGTCACTTCTAGTCCAATTGGACGGCTATTCGTGCTACCAGCGTGTTCCCGTTCGTGTTCGAATTTCATGACGTCATTCTCGATCCGAGCGCTAGCAATGCCTAGCATTTAGTAGATTCTTAAAGGCTACGTACCGAAGCCATGGCTGGCCGGTAATGCATCGTAAAACGTTCCTTCCCATGCGTTCATTAGCACCTTTCTCAAAGATTCCATCTTCCCAGATGAATAAATAGCCAGGAATGTAATCCGGGACCGGAGGATAATACTTTGTTCTTGCATTGTTTTTGATACGGAAACATGCAGGTAGCTATGTGAACTCGGTAAAGTACGTAGAATTCATTGATGTGCGACTAGCCTTACAGCAACTTCAAGTTACCGCCAATTCATATAATACTTTATGTAAAATTAGCAATAGAAAATCTCATTAAATTCCTGTTGCCAGAATGCTCCGTTTCTGACGAAACTAGACTGTCACTTTTGATCGGGGAGGTCCTCCGTGCATTGTCCATGAGGCTTCAGATCAAAGCAACGCTTTTTCTTCCACAGAAACCGTTCAACACACGTGTTTGCACTGCATACTGTACTGCTTCACAACCAAGGTACCAGTGATCCTTAGGGGCAGCATCATATTGATAATCTTGCTCGCTGTTCAGATGTGTCTCTTGTTTTCTCTGGAGCGGCTCTTTTAATAAAGGGACGATTAAACTATAGCGGTGCTTAAATTTGAGATTCGCGAATATTGCCGGGGAGGAGATTGTCAAGAGATCACGTGTACACGGTGTAAGTATAAATTTCGCACAAAAAATTGTGAGATGAGTCAGATGACTCAACTTAGTTGAAACCATTTTCGCGTAAAGGCCATCTGGTCGGGAACTGAGGATCTCCTCGCTCTCCAACTCATTGAACAACTGTTTGAGCTTCTGCTCGAAACCATTTTTGGCACGAGTATTTGGTCTATCAACTGAGGGTCTCCTCGCTCCCCGCCTCATTAAGCAATTGTTGGAGCTTCTGCTCGAGATCCAATGTTGGACGACTATCTGGTCTGAAGCCGAGGATCTCCTCGCTCTCCGCCTCATTAAACAATTATTTGAGCTTCTGCTCCGGGTCTAATTTTTGCAGCAAGACCGTCTATTCTGGAACCGAAAATTTCCTCGCCCTCCCTTCAACAATTCTTGGTATCGATGCCGGACTATGTGCTCGCAGTGCTATAAATCACACTTAACTCGCAACTCGCATCCTGCGTCGTGCGGCGATGTTATGTGATCTCGTGCCGAGGATCTCTCCACTTCTGCGTGCAACAAAATGTTATTTGAGCAATAAAAAATTACATCATGTCACACGGAGCCTAGCTCTATTGGAGGCTTTCTCGATCGTTTCACAACCCGAAACCTAGCGTTAAAGGGCGTCTGAGGCCGAGTTTCAAAACAGTTCGCACCGCAAGAGTCCCCACAAATACAGGTCCGAATTGTTAGTTAGTTAGTTAGTTAGTTAGTTATTGTATTGCTGCTGAATATCGGACGGTAGTTTTGGTGGGCTGATTACGCCTTTCAGTACTCACCCAAAATATCAGAAACATGTCGGCATATCCTAATCCTAATCTGCTAATCTTTACGCTACGCGAGTGAGTAGGTCCAGGACGGCATTTAAAATGATAAAATGATGAACGGCAAGGTGAGTGTACAAAGCACATGGCATTACATGTTCACGGAAAATAAATCTCAAGATCTCGCTTCAAGTGTCAAAGATTGTTCCGTGCAGGCCGTTCCAGCGTTCGCCGTATCCTTATATAAATATGCGTGCTAGCGTGCACTGCTAGTTGTGGTTGTCCGCAGCTCCCCTCTCACCGTCCTTATAATTTCTCGTCCACTATGCAATACCCAGATGAATCCACCGATCTTTCCCAATTAACGATGAAAGAATTTGTCGGCCATTCTCGTCATTTGTTTACGCAGATGCAGGACGATGATCAGGCGCAGGTTGATTTCATTCGTTTTGTGCTAGCTGCAAGGGTTGGGCCACTCGCAGATGAGGAGCTCGACCGGTGCCAAGTGCGTCTGAATTGCTTGCAAGGCATTCCCCCTCTTCCTGAGACCGACATTACTCGCGATTTCGACTCGGTCATTGGGGTATCGGACACACTACCCTATACTAGCTCATTGTCCATCTGGCCCCTTCCTCCATTCAAAGAGACATTGAAAAAAGACAATCACGTTAAAAGTCGAGCGTATAATAGTCAGGTGAGTCAACGGTGATCTCAGTCATATGCATCCTGACCATCATGGAACCAGGGCGACGAGATTCAAGTCCCGATGCACAAAATCCCCAACATCCCCTTGGGCAAGGTTCAACAACGGCACGTTGTGAGGCTTTACTTACCACGGCTCTACAATGCAGACTGGCAAGTCGGCCAATTGGCTCCGGACAAATTGGCTCAAATATATGACCGCTGCCTCCGTCCTACGATGATGGAAGCTGTACCCGAGTCTTGCGACAAATGGCCGACCAGTTATGCAACCGCATACGCACAGTCCAGGACTCGCACCGGGTCACTCACTTTCAGCAGCGCGGACATTCCCTGGTATAGGTTAGATCATGTTGCGACGACTCTGATAGCTAAACTTGCAGATCTGGGGCCTGCGTTCAGGGACGCCTATTTTGGGCACGAGTTGAGAGGAACGAAAGGTGCTACCATACACAACGGGAGGGATGAGGATGAGCGACGCCTCGCAATGGAAGAGTTATTTGAGCATGTCGATGTCGACAGCCTGAACGCTGAGCAATGGCACGTGGATGTCGGACTTACGATCAGCGTACCAGGCCACATCGTCACATGGCGCGAATCTTCTCACCACGAGCTCTTGAGCCACCTGATGCCTGCCGCATCTGCACAGCAGATCTCTCGCCTGATCAATAATAAGGCGCGGTTTCATCTGGACCGCACATTGCAGATCAAGGAATTTGCCGGCTTTCGTGCAACTACCGCCCGTTGTGCAGGTGCATCCGGCCTATCATATGTGCAGGCGTATTGCACCGAGAAGAACGTGACGTACTCTCTAAACCCAGGGGTGTTCCGTCGACGTCAGGCTCAAGAGCTTCTGCAGAAGGAGACCGAAGACAGGATACTGAAAGACATGGATGTAATGAGTAATATATTTTTTGAATGCGCTGGTGAAGGGGATGTGGAAGGTCGCGATGGCTGCGCCCGCTTGGAGATTCGGGTTCCGTTGGCCGATGCCATGAACTCATTGTATACCCTCCCCGAGGAGCTTATTCAGCGCTCTGTTATCGCTATTGACAGAAGAGTATGGTGGTAAGAACGCATCCGCATGACATTAGCTTGCATCCATAAGCTGATACATCATCCTAGGCTTTATGTCTATTACCGTCTGGCTGCAATCCGTCTAGTCCTAAAGAACTTACAAAAATCGGATGGAAGAGTGCGCTCCATGGACTCTACTTTGGCACTAGGAGCGGTCTGCATCTATATGGCCAATGCTTGCTTTCATCGTCCGGCCGAGGGCTTTGGATGGGAGCGCTTGATTGAGAGATGTTGTCAACAGGTTCTTCAAGACCCTGCTGACGATGAAGACGACGAAGACGCCCCCACCGTACCCGTACTGTATGACAACGGCGCATACTTCATCTGCGACATCGTGCTTAACAGCAATCCAACCTTTCTTCGACTACCAGTGCAACGCACCTTTGACGCAGAGTCCTTAATTTGTATCTATCACAAGACGTCCATGGATGAAATCCGTTCCTTGTTTACGTGGAGTGCAGCCCCGCTTAGCAGGCGCCTGCCTAACCCAGAAAGAACCCAAAACCGCAAACGAAAGACTCGTGACGTTGACGACATCAGGGAGCCGGATCGTCCGCGCTTGCGCCTTGACACGGAGGTTCGGGGTATCCGATTCAAACGTACTGTTCGCCTGGCAGGCAGAGACGTGGACCTTCACGTGCTGAACGGGGGTGATGAGCGAGAACTTGATGGAGGAAGGAATAACGAGCAAGGTGAACTTGCAATTGACGAGCGCATCGCCAAAATATACGAGCAGTTCTTCCTGGACATCATCGAGGAAGCACCTAATCCCAAATCTGCGCGGGAGGGGTCATACCTCAGCATCCCCGCCTGTATGCGCAGCGAGCTAGCACGACCAGAGCTACTGCAGACCGCAGATCTTCCATTCAATAAAGCACAATACTTGGTCTGCTCAAAAGAGCAGTGGACGTTGCACTTTAACCATATCTTTCCCGAAACTATCGAGGATGCCAAACGTCAGAACTTCGGAAGGTGCACCTATTACACCAATTACATGGCTCTTGCTCGTGACATAACGAATAAATCACTGTCCAGAGCCCGACATGTGCTCAAGGTCGAATTCGATAAGCTGGCATGGATACCATACACCCGGGCAGACCGTCTGTGGTCATCGGGAAAAATGTCCGGTTCCGGATGGCAGATGCTTCCTCGCGGGGCAAATAGAGGAGGGCCGGCGGTTGCCATCAACCCTCTGCGGCAGAGGGAATCGGTCACCTTGCGCGTGTTTGATCAGCCTGTGCAGGGCGACTCTGAGTTTGAGGGGGAGAATGAGTGAATATACGCTTGTTGATACACGCATTCGTTACATGATCGTACTTTTGGACTGGTATGGACTATAGCTTTAATAATTCGCGAGTATTCATTGGATTTTTACAATGACACACCGAAATCATACACGTGCTGCCCTTCACTCACTGCAAACATACTTTTAAGCCTAAACTGCACCTGGATGATGCTTGTCAAACCTCGACAAAGGCAAAGTGGGTGATGGAAGGCGTCCTCGAGTTGGGACGGCGTTGCTCTAGCTAAGGGATATGCGAGCACAAAACGGTGGTGGACATGTTGTAATGCTGCTTGACGGTCCTGCACGTCCCTTTCAAGCCATTCGTTCAGAGTTCTCATGTAACTTCCAAGACAATTCTCTACAATCAAATTCGTTAAGCCTCTGCAGTTAGCGAAGGGGCGTAATGAGCGAAGCGCACATACGAACAGGTTTGAAGCTTTGAACAGTGACGTTTTCTCTCGTTCGTTCGGTGTTTCAATCGATAGGGAATTGCTTTATTGGTAATGACGTGGGAAGACTTCATGACCGATGTTTTTCGTTTTCGATGCTGTGTAATGCTGACTAGGTATGCGTTCCTTGCTGCCATCGATTCCGGCGTCGGATACCATCCCACATCACGAATGAGGTGCTGGCTTGCAGTTCTACCAACACCTCCCACCTTTGACTTGGACGAAGGCGTGATGTTAGAAGTCCAGATTTGCTTGTCATTTCACATTCTTCATCTTGCTGTGCTAAAGATTCCAATCACGCCTCAATAGTCCGACCGTGCTCTCTCATCAATTTGACATCCCTCTCTGCACCCAAACATACGTGCCTCTCGAGTCTCCGCTCGCCCCAGGTGGACCTCAGCACTCGGTAACGATCCCGAAAGCATGCGCCAGCGGGATGGAGGAGGCGAGGTGGAATATTGTTCAGGCCACTACTGCACTGCTTGTGAAGACGAAAGGTATATTTGAGATTATTTCGAACATTTGTATTTGTTTGAAACACATGGCACGTGTCAGGTGCAATCAAGTCAGGCTCAATCAACAGCAGCGTAGGTGCCAGCACAGGGTTTGCTAGTATCCATTGGCGTCAATTCACCTTCTTAAACGATGCGATGAAAGCTCGATACTCGCGATGCTCCAGGAATGTACACGGCCCAAATTTATTGCTGAGACATCTTCAAACTCCCCTCCTGGTCCGTATTTAGCTTTCATCTTCACGAGGTATCCAAGTTCACTAGAAGGGACAGAGGTTCAGACACGCCAACACCTTGGGCAAGAAAAAGCTCACTGTTGGATGTTACGGCGTTCTTCACGAACCTTGCCAAGTTCTCCAAGGAACATCCGGACCTCATTCGTGAATGCTTCGCTAAATTCGTCAAAGTACTAAAGCGATTTTTTCTTTCTTTAAAAAATACACGGTTCGCAAGCACTCACTTGCATGTTGAATGGGACTTGCTTCTGGGCGGTAGCACGGACAGCTTCAAGGGTGTCTTCATGCCGCCGTTCACCTTCAGTCCGCCAGTCTGCCATAAGCGATGAAATCAGCAAAGGACCACTCAAAGGCACGCCCAAGACACACCCTCGTGAAGCCTGAAGCGCCTCTTGCATCTCATTATCTTGCCAGGTGAGTTCGCAGAGCACCACTTGAATATCTGGCTTACCCTCCTCTCGCGGCCTGTGCTCTTACTCTTGAATTCGATCCACCTCGCGGTCTTGAATGAGCTGGGGGAACATATCCTTCAGGTCATGGAATTGCGCATCTTTATCAGGACGCCTGCTCTTGTCTTCCACCGCTGATCCATAAGTTTCCTCTTCCTGCCACACTTTTCGCATTTCTCCGAAACAAACTATGTAATATCACCCAATTGCGCGTGCATGGCTTTGTCACATTCATAGGCAGCCACCCGTTCCTCATTCTCAGACTATCGGCGCTGCCTTCCGTCATCAAGCTCCCACGAACGCATGCAAGCTCTACTTCCAGGTCATGAACCCTTCGTTCGCGCTCTTCATCCATGTGAGCACGCTTGATGGCAAATTAAGCCCGTCCTGATCCTTGTCGGATGTAAGAGACTCCCTTTCGTGAGAAAACTGCTCGCGCTCAAGTCGAACCTCATTCAAAATGTCAGAAGCATGTCAAGAAGTCCCCTCATGAGAAGAGGCCACGTGAATCAATTCAATGATGGAAGCATTATCTCCAGATCCAGGTGGAGGAGGGACCAGTGGAGGAAGTACACTGCACCCTCTCTTCTGGATAAATTAATGGTTTATCACTGCTGTCTTACCTCAGCCTCACGAAGATCTTCGTGTTGGAGGAAGATTTCCACTTCATTGAGTCAGAACTCTGCTTCACGACAGTGTTCAGCTTCATGGGCGTCCTGAGCGATCTAATCGATTTCGCGTTCTGCATCGTCCAGTCTATCGTGCCGCCGATTAATCACGTCATCAAAAACAGTGGTTAGCATACCTCCTGCGTGGGATCCTGTGCGTGATGGAACCCGCGAAGCGGCGCCATGTCATGTGGGTCAGCTTCGTCATATGGAACTAGCGAAGCAGCGCGATGTTTATGAGCTTCGTCGTCCAAAACTCACGGAGCAGCGCGACACTGGTAAAGGTCAGCTTTGTCATCCGAAACTTGCAAGGCAGCACGATGATCATAAGGGCCAACATCGTCATCTGGAACCCGCGAAGCAGCACGACGTCCATGTGAATGAACTTCGTCGTCCGGAAATCGCAACGTCTATGCAGATCGACTTCATCACACCTTGCAGAGGGCGATCGATGGTGTGACCGTCTTTCATCACCCTTTTCAGAAGGTGATCGACAGCATGGTCTGTGCTTGTGTTCCATACTGAAGGTGCTCAATGGTGTGGCTGTCCATCTACGTCCGTATCTGATGTGAGTAATGTACCGTTGGAATGTATATATTGGGGGCGTGACGACTATGGCGCTGGATCAGTTCAAAAAATTACACACAGGAAACTCACTTGCACACAGATGCCGAACACACACACAAATAACTAAACACACACATGTCTCATATTGTAACACACATTTGATCAGTACTATAGGCGCATTTTCAAGTTAAATGTGTTGTTCTAACTAAGGTGTCTTGAATCACCTCGATGAGATCAAAAGTGAGACAGAATGCTGTTCTTTCTTCACCATCTGAAGCAGCAATTTCCAGCACTCTGGATTGACCCTTCTAATTTCTGGCCCAAGCGCTCAATACCTTCTTGGAATTTTTGAGGATTGTGGCCATTAAGGAGGAAATGAGCCATTATATATATTATATTATTATAAGCGAAGTTCAAAGCTGGATTTTGTCGAAGGCCGATTTGGATGTGGATTTGGATGTGGATTTCGGATGGATTTCGGATGGATTTCGGCTGGTCAAGCGGCAACATTCGGCAAGGTGAGTTGGACTCTGAAACACGCACAATGTGGCTTACATGCCACTGTCTTGTTTACTGTACGATGCGACTAGATCCTCCTTTGCTGCCTATAGATCAATAGCTTATCCTGAACCATGATGAAACATAAACGACTGACATCGCAAACACCTGTCAAATTTGTTGATCCGAAGTCCTGCAAGAAGAAGGCCATTCTTGTGTTAGCTGCACCTGACTTCAATTCCGTGTCCGTCTTCTCACTCAAGAAGCACAGTCTCATGCCTGGTCTTACATTCTCATCAGCTGCAAAGAGGGTATATACACCGATTTTGCTTGCTTGCTCTTTAACTGTGTCCATTCTCCTGACTCAAGAAGTGCAGTCTCATACCTGGTCTGAGTCTTGCATTCTTCAATGAACTTATCACCGGTTTGCTTTCAGTTATCGGTAGTGCTCGATTTTCTGCAATACAAGTGAGATATTTGCCAGGGCTGCAGCGGCCCAATGATTCAAGACACCCTAGTTAGAACAACACGGTCAACTTGAAAATGCGTGTATAGTACTGAATGTTCGACAATATGAGACATGTGTGTGTTTAGCCATCTGTGTGTGAGTGAGTTTGGTGTGTGTATAATTTTTGAACTGATTCAGCGCCATAGACGATGTTCATGTTGAAGTTGACTATTGGCGTTCATCGGACATCATTCTGGAAGTTTGTCAGAGTCAGTCCATGCTCACAGCAACCCACACACCTGGTGAAAACACATAACATTCATCCAGAATTATGATCACTGGTAGGCTGGTGTGGGATTCAGGATGTGTTTGTTCTGGTTAATCAATCCTGATGACAGTTGGTGACTGTGGAGGATTCTCAAACTGCGTGGAACCAGGAATGCCATGACTAGGTGCATCTGCTTCTGAAAATTGAGTATAAGTTCTGTGAGTCTGTGAGTGATCGTCTCTACTACATCATTCTCTTTCTTCTGAATGTCTTGGAAGAGGTGAATTGAGTTGTCCATGACAGCAGTTGTGGTCACTATCTCTATGTCTCTTGCCTCATTGTGGTGGTGTAATTATGCTGCCCTCTCTCTCGGCGGAGACCCTCAGGACAGTAGTTCAGTAGTTGTCATAATAATGGCGATGATAGTGATATTCAGGTGAGAAGTATCAGCATTGACAGTCATCCCAACATCTTGAGTAATGATAATCAGGAGTGTTAAGATGTCAACCTCATCAATGATAAGGATTGTCATATGGATATCTGTCACCATGATGTCTATAAAGTAGTAAGACCAAGATCGTGACCACAAAATGTGTCCCTGGCTAGCAGCTCTTGGTTCTGATCCCAAAGGACGACACATCCTTCTTGGACAAGGAGTCTTGATGCTGTGACTGGACCAAGTGTTTCGTAAGTACCTTCTTCCATTTTCTAACTTCTGACTTTTGGTAGGGCAAGTTTTCCCTTTGCCAGGATGAGGCAAAGGAAAAGGGGGTTACCCTCCCTATGACCACCACACTTGCTGTGAAGGGAGAAGTGTATTTTGTCATGTGTCTAGCCCTCCAAGAGGCCATTCAACTCATCAAGGAGAAGGCTGCAAAGCAGGCCAAGGAGAAAGCAGTGGTGGAGAAGCTTGCAGAGGAGGAGCAGTTGAAGAAGATTGCCGAAGCAGAGGTCAAGAAATCAAAGGAGGTAGTCAGGGAGGAAGAAGCGGTAGACTCAGAGACATTGGAGGAGGAGAAGGAAGAGGAGGAGGACAATGTGGGGGGTTTGGAAGATTGGGTCATCACTCAACCAAAGGTAAGTCTTTTCCTTGTTCTTTTCCTGATGCGACTTATGTGTTTTTAGACTGGTTGGATGTCAATGAGTTCTTCAATGACAATTCAGTACTCTAAGCAGTGCAGCCATTGCACTTGTCAAAAGCTCAGATGTCTCGGTTTGGTTGGGCAGAGCTGCCATCCATGCAAGAAGGCTCATATCTAGTGCAAATATAGCACCACCCCTCCCAGTAAGTTCCTTCTTCCTTTTCTTTTGCTTGATACTAAGGTTTCTTTTTCAGAGGGAAAGAAGGCCACACAGGTGGCCACAGTCACAACTTCAGCGCTGGTTGCTGGTCCATCTTGCCCTGCACCTGGTCCGGTGACACAGGCCATCTCACTCTCAGAGGAAAATTGCACCGCCCCTCACCTGGTTGCAAGGGGTTCAAAGAGGGAGGCAGTAGAGATGGTGGAGGATAAAGATTTGGATGAGGTGGACGAGGTGGATGAGGAGTTGCAGAGGCAGTTTGAGGTGATGGAATCTCAATGTCAACAGGCAGAGGGGTTAGCAAAGGAGATATGACTAGGCATGGACCTCCTTGCTTGCATGATTGCAAAGTGGCGCTGCATCCACAAGTAGTTAGTTACTTTTACTTAAACATTTTTCACACAAAGTTGCCGCCTTCAGGCCAATACTACAGGGTTTAGGTCTGTCCTTGTGTGAATACCAGATTAAGTCTTGATCCAATACCATGTCCATATTCCTGTGCCTGTAAGAACTTTGCTGTGCCTAAGAATTGAATATAAGAAGTTAAGTATGTGATCATCATCAGAAGATTTGGAACTAAGAATTAAGTATGGATGGTGTGGAGTACTGTCTGTTTTGTCTTCATCAATTTGCTGTACAGACTTGCGTTCCTACATGCACTTCCCTCTGAATTCTCCCACATTCCTTACAAACTCCAGCTCTAATCCATAGGATACATCTAGCTCATTAGCACATATATTTTATTTCGCAGGTTTCACGCACGGCCTCTCGTGTTCGTGTGCATCACATATCCATACTCGCATTGTCCACACACCCATCTGCCTGTCCTTCCCATGTCCTTAGAAGTCCATTGGTGCAGTTTTCCCATCATATTTCCATTTTGCTTAATTGGTTTCCATCAGTAATGCTTGGCTTTGCGCTTTGCACGCAGCTGAGACCCTATTACATACCTCGCATACTATCTATAGCCTATTTGGCTCATTACATCGGACCTGTGCACCTAGTGGCGGTTAGTTATTTTACTTATACCCCTCTATTACTTATGTTCTGGGTCAATTTTCTGCCCACTTTCTCTGTGTCCTTAGATACAAGGGAATTTTACTTGTTGTTTGCAGTGACTATCTAAGTCTTGTGTGCCAGTTGTCTGCCTTTTGCCTTAACATCAGCCAATCTTAGTTGGGGTGTTATTAGTTGTCTCGCCTTGTCTCTCTTTCATTTCTCTTGCTCTTTCGTACTTTGCTCTTGCTCACATGCACTACCTTTGCATTGCACATCTCGCCTTTTGCCTTTTGCACTTGCGTGTCATCGCACGCGTTCACACACCATTCATCACATTGCTCTTGCCTCATGCTTTGCGCATCCCTTAGTCCATTATCCTAGTTGTAGTTTGGTGTCCCTCTTTTTATAAGAAAGGTTTCCCTTAACTCAGACAGCTGCCATTGGGTCGATGTTTTACTTGTACCCAGGACTATCTGTGTTTTCTTAGCTTAACACCAACTTTCTGCCCACCACGAGGGGCACTACTGAGACTACTGGTAGGGTACTCAGACCAAACGCACATTGTTTAGCTTTCATGGAATTTATCACATGATTCGGAGAAGCAATAGAAGAATTACCCGACAGCTTGCTATTTACTACCATACCTCCCGCAGAAAAATCCATAGTTGATGTGCCACGTCCAGAATACTTGTTCCTCATTGGCAATAATGAGCAGCAGCCATCGCTGATCACATCCTCACCTAAAGAATCTATCAAGGAAGAATTGCTCGACAACTTCACATCCCTAGACACACCTAGAGGTAACCTTCCAGGAGCCTTTCATAGCATGCCTAAAGCGGTGCAGAAAGTGAAACATGTTATGCTAACACCTATAGATGCCCTCACACCACTGCATAAACACATGGAATTAGATTCGCCCATAAAGCAAGAAACTGTTCAAGTTCTCAACCCGCCCATCTCAATAACAAACAGATGCCTCATCGGTGCACTCTCAAGTTTATATGTGCAACAGCCCATGCACATGCCACCCGCACCCGCACCCGCACCCGCACTTGCCCCAATTGCCTTGCAAGTAACAATGTCTACTATTCCGTATCACATGCCCATTTGCGGCACTGACTGCACGCCAAAATTCGATGGCACTACTGCTAATCTGTTAGATTTTATAGATGCATATGAAGAACACACAGATCAGGCCAGTCTCGCTGGTCTTAATCATATCAAACAGATAATTTGCTATCTCGCGCCCGCAGACAAAGAACTTTGGGCATGTCTGCCTGAAGCGAAGGTCAGCAACTATGACACATTTATTAAGAGCCTGTTCGGATACTCCCTGCAGCCAACATTTGCTTGTAAATGTTGACACCATGGTCGTTGGCATTGGAACCCGAGATGTCGGAGCTTGAACTTTGCCTCCCTCATACTTGTACATATCACTATCAATGGATTACCACCCTCACCTAATGCTTGAACAGCAGGGGAAACTCTTTGCTGGTGCTGTTGTTATTACTGCCATCTGTGCTCAATACACTACTCTTCTCATGGCACAACCTGAAGTACATAGCAGCAATCAAACCAAGGTCCCCCCTGCTTAGTGGAGTGACAACGAGATCACCACACATGTTGAATATTTACATGAACATCGCTCAGAAGCTGAAGGAGGAGGTAACTTCAAGACAAAGGTTTTTGCAGATGCAGCAGACTATATCAACAACAACAAGGATCTCACAGCAACTCATATGGGTCCACCAAAGACAGCTAAATTAGTCCAAAACAAGTGGACATCGGTATGTCTAGAGTGGTTTCTTGTTTTATTATGAGCTGATGAGTGATCCTTAGCTTAAAGGCATTTACCATGCTATCGAGAAGTATCGTAACCAGACAGGGGTTCACTGGGACAATCAGAATGTAGTGGGGATCGCAGGATCAGCAGCGGCAGATGTGTGGGGAACATATATTCAGGTGTGTGCGCCCTCATCATTTCTCATTTGTTTTCAAGCTCATATATTATTAGAAAAATCATCTGATGCACCAATTCCACGACAAGGGATGGGACCAATATGAAAAAATGCAAGCCATTATTCCACTGGGTGGCGCTAGAGGCCAGCATGCTTTTCACCCAGGTGGCATTGCTCCTTCCATTACTGATGCTGACAGTGAGCCTGGAGGGACATCCAATGCTGTTGTTCCAGCTGGTGCTGTAGCTACCTCGGCCATTGCAACCTCATCCGCAACCTTGGCTGTTCCTACTTCATCTGGCCATTCCTACTTCATCTGCTGCTGGCTCGAATGCTGGCAAATGCCCATATGCTGAGGCATTGACGGAGATTGAGACAACATCATTTGGATCCAACCATATGTCCATGCAACATCGGAACCAGGCAATCCAACACCTATGTTTATACCATTCCCCGACCTCTCTTGACCTTCCGAAGGCCGTGCACACTTGTCCAAACCTTCCGCAGGCAGTTCTTGTGTTCCGAGGCCCGTCTGAACCTCGCAAGTTACCATACCATGTCCTATCCTCGTCCTTTTGACTTCACTGGTGCGTTTTTCCTTATTCTAACTATATGTTGACTACATCTAGTGCTATACGGATAAAATTCTATCGGCATCCTGTTGGGAGCCTCGGAATACGTATAAGCAGTACACATCACGACTTATTACATGTATACTTGCATTCCTGCACGCCTCGCAGCTTATTACATAGGTTCGGACTTGCTTATCTTGCTACTAGTTTTGCCTATGGATTCCGGTCTCTCACAGAAGTAGGATATAATCTCGCTCACTGGCTACTGATACTTCACTTCACTTCCCGTACTTCGAATAGTAATTAGTAGAGTCACCTCGGTATAATCGTAACTGCGCAATCGATCTTTGTTCATTCGGAATGATTGTTTGGCTAGACTGCTGCCAATTTTGCACTTCGTTTATTCTTGAGTTCTGATAGATTAGTGTTGTTCCGGACTTCGGACATTTCACAAAGTCTTATACTGTTATTCGACACATTGACATACCGACATATATTGACCTTTGGACAGCTTTTGCAAGCCTCGGAAGGCATCATGCTACTTCGGACAACACTTTTGCAGCCTCGGACAACCTTTGGTCGCATCGGACAAGTTTCTCGGTACTTCGGAAGTAGTCTCAAAACTATGGATGAACATTAAAGAGGTTTTCTTCCAATATCTTGTCTACTCTCTAACTGTATAAGACTTCCCTTGCTTTATCAAGGTAGTTCTTAGGTTGTCTCTTGGGACGAAACATACTCACATCTCTCAGGACTAGGGACTCACATTCAGTAGAGCCCAGCCCAGATCTACTCTTTACAATGCCCAGGTGAATGGTATAGTCAAAAGACGACACCATGATGTCCGGGAGGCCATCATCAAAAATTATGATGGTACCAAGTTGTCCACTCCGTTTTCTGGGCCGAGTGCATTACTATTCATCGCACAATGGGCCTATCGCCATATTTCATGGTTCATGGCACTGAGCCTATTTTTCCATTTGACTTAGCTGAAGCGATGTTTCTCGTTCCTTTGCCGAGCTGAGGTGCATTCACCATTGCTGACCTTATAGGATAGTGCACGTGCCAATGACAGAAGCGCGAAGCTGACCTTGACATGATCAAAGCTCAGGTAGTCAAAGCATGATTCAAGTCTATTCACAACTTTGAAAAACACTTTTGCGTGTCTATCAAGTCTTATGACTTCGGAACTGGTGCACTAGTTCTCGTCCACAACTTGAAAGTCAAGTATGAGCTTAGCAAAAAGACAAAGCTGCACTATCACGGACCAATGATGATCATGCGGTGCACGAAAGGAGGTTCTTATATGCTTGCAGAGTTAGATGGTGTGATATCCAAGCTATGCTTAGCCGTGTTTTGCATAATACCATATTATCTGTGAAGCAAAGATCACATATCCATCATGCAGATGACCAGAATAGACAACAAAAGTATAGACCATTTAGAAGCTAACAAAACTATAGAACCTGATGAAGATGAACCCAAGCACACGCACGACAAATAGCGCACAAAGGCTCGCCCATCACATACTCTCATATCTGCATCCCCACATTCTCAAATTTCCGACCACTGCCCTCATACATATCATCACAAAAATATCAAAAACACAAAAACACAGTCTCGCTAGAAGTATTTCCTCTCAGTTTTACCCAGATTTTTGTCCAGCAACCTCAGTTTCTCTCTCACATCTTGCATATATCCCACACATTTGCTGAACATAACAAAATCACAGACTCTATCATATTGCATGCATCACACATAATACTGTAACAGTACATACAGATAAGTTCTCCTAATAAACTTGCGCATGCATAACCATCCACATAGACTTTCTATTTTGAATGCATGAAGCTGCGCTGTGCCCATTTTTATATAGATTTTATTTCACCACCCTAATCACCCAAGCAGGAATAGATACAGACAGCTGCACAAAGAAGACAAGCTGAGCGTGATGTTTGCGCGATTGCACACATATGGCTAAATACAATCCTTTTCATTCTAATCATAACACACTTGCTTACAATTCTATTTCATTTAATATCCAGGCACAATGGACTCTTTAGACATGGACATGGGTGGGGACTAGGACCTAATGTGAGGATCATGCAGAAAGTTCAGACACAACGCAAAACCACTATATTGTACAATAAAGTGGGGAAAAACAGAGTATAGTAAGTGCAGAGCGTGCGCAGAGGGACAGATGTATAGTACAGATGCATGAAGATGACACGTGAAGAAGAAGAAGAGGAGAGGCTATAGTAAGATCTAACTACTCTGGCCAATGCTCTTGCCCTGCAATAAACTCATCCATCTTCTGTCCCATGACCCTCCAATCATCTGCCCACACATGAAACTTGTTGCTCATTCCCACCAACTCGAGTTGTTGTCCGCGCACTTGTTGACAAAGGTTGATAAGGAAGTGTACATAGGCCTTGTTTGACTGACAAAGGCAATCATTGTCCTCAAGGAGTTGCACATTTTTGGTGTGAAGGTGAGCAAGTTCTGCACTGCCATCCTTCTCACGCAAAGATTGAGCAGCCAGCACACGTGCTGGCAAAGGTTTGACTGGGCGAGGCAGAGAGTGCACTATCTTTGCTGGCTCCTCTCCACCTCTGACTCACCTGACTTGTCCGCATTGTCAGCCATCATTGGCTTGGTGACAGGGACATGTTCCTCAGCCATGTGTGCCACCTTGCATGCAGGACTGGTGGTTCCTGCAGCCTTACATTTAGCTGATTTAAAGAAATGTCAGAACCAGCAAAAACATCAAAAGTACAGAAAGGACTCACTGAAAGAACATGTGATGTGCGATTTATCGCAAGGCGTGCAGCAAGAAGTACAGCCTTGCATACAAGACACTCTGCCCAGCACACACCTCTTGCACTTTGGGTCATTGGACCTCTCCGCTGACATATGTCCACCTGATTTCTATGGCAAAATACAATAAGCACGATAGAAACATTAGAAAGAAAAGAAACACTCACCAGTTTCCCCATATCAGGGACCACATCCACATTCATTGCCTTCTCCTTTCCTTTTCCCTTTCTGTGCACACACAACTCGCCTCCTCCATCAGCTTCTCCACCGCTTTCTTCCAGTCGCCTACTGTCTTCTGAGCGACCAGTGCCCACTTCTTCATCTCCTGTAAGGACACCTTTTTCTCATCACTCAAGGCAAGGGCGACACCTGCCTCATTTGTGTCTTTGCTGCATGCGCGAATCCCAGCCTATACATCTATGCTCAGCTAAAGGAATCATAACAGAAATGAAAAAGTACGTACCTCTAGGCAATCCCACTTGCACAGCCAGGACTCGATGTCCTCCAAAAGTTCTTGTTTCAAATTCAGGCGCGACATTGCACACCTGTCCAATGACATGAGCAACAATGCCTACATGCAAGCCACCTGTGCACCTGACAATTCCAGCTCCAGTGCAGGACTGCCACATGCCAATCCTTCATGCAGAGATGCATTGTCAGCAGGAGCCTTGGGCTCAGGAGAGGAAGAATGGATTGAATTAAGCATTTCCAAGTTGAAGGATGACATGGTAAAATGAGAAAAGTGATGTTCGTGGTGATAGTGAAAGATGAAAGAACAACGTGTTGCCACATAGCGCTCTTGTATGTGCACTAACCACAATTATCTCAGCATTTGCACTAATTCCCAAAGTCATGAGGCCGACCGCTGGCACTTTGCATTTGGAACATGGACTGCAATCATGTGACCTTCACTTCATCGAAACTTCTCTAAGTCCATCCATGTGCACTCACTGAGTGGGGACAGTCAGATTTTAAAGTCACCCACTGTTGTAGAGACTCACGTTCCTACACACACTTCCCTCTGAATTCTCCCACATTCCTTACAAACTCCAGCTCTAATCCATAGGATACATATAGTGCATTAGCACATTTATTTTATTTCACAGGTTTTGCATGCATCACACATCTGTACTCGCATTGTCCACACACACATCTGCCCGTCCTTCCCATGTCCTTAGAAGTCTATTGGTGCATTTTTCCCATCATATTTCCATTTTGCTTAATTGGTTTTCATCGCTAATGCTCGGCTTTGCATGCAGCCGAGACCCTATTACATACCTCGCATACTATTTATAGCCTATTCGGCTCATTACATCGGACCTGTGTGCCTAGCAGCAGTTAGTTATTTTACTTATATCCCTCTATTACTTATGTTCTGAGTCGATTTTCTGCCCACTTTCTCTGTGTACTTAGCTACAGGAAAATTTTACTTGTTGTTTTCAGTAACTATCTAAGTCCCACATGCTAGCTGTCCGCCCTTTGCCTTAACATCAGCCAACCTTAGTTGGGGTGTTATCAGTGTTGATGTATATTCTCGTTTACCTTTAGACTTGACATTACTTTCTTGATCTTATCATCTTCAACACCACATGTAACACAAATTCTTCTCTGATCGTCATAGCACTTGGCTTCTTGTTCGCATGGACCTTCCGCTCATCCTCTCACTGGTATTGTTACCTAATGTCTTGGACTCGCATATTTAGTTCCAGCCGTTCCTCACAGCACCTCAGTATTGTTCTTGAATATACTGAGGTATGCAGACTGTCTTCTCTTGTTTGTCTTGTACTTACTGATGTAACCTTAGTGTGTCTTTGTCCGCTAGTTCTGCTAGCACCTTCAGGTTATGAGCCCTGAGCTCAAATAGAGCTCACACCCATATACACCTCGAAGACACTCATTGAACAAATGATCACTCATCTAACAATCTAACTCCTACCCATTCTTAAAAGCACTCAACTCATTTGCTTGTTGAATATGGGTAAGTACAATTACATTATAGAGCTCACTGGAGTGGACATTTATCCTAGTTGGCAAAGAACTGTAGAGTTGGCATTGGCAGGTGATGGACTGTGGAATCACTGCAGTAACAGTACCGATCCCAAGGATGTGATTGAATACACCAGTGTTATGCCTGATGCAGTGAATCCAGCACAACCCACTAGCACAGAACTAACTGCTATTAAAGAATGGGCAAAGGAGGACACCCAGGCCAAAGCCATAATCAGCAGATGCTGCTCTCCAATCGTCCAGAACATGCTTGGCGAAGAGCTAACAGCTTGTCAGCAATGGAATGCATTAGAAAAACTCTTCGGACGGCTCGATGTTACCTCTCAATTTGAACTATGTGACCAACTCTTCTCAGAGCGACTCAAGGACACTGAAGATGCATTGCAATATCTCAGCATCTTCAAAAACGGGTGCAGTGTGGATGCTCCTTCATGGACTCCCTGACACACCGCAGTGGGTCATATTCCATACTCTCACCCTAGGACAGTATAAAAGTAGCTCTTTCTCGACCTCCACAAACACCAGCACCATGGTCTCATTCGATGACATTGCTATTGCCTTCATTGAAGAGGCCAATCAGCGAGGGCATCAGAAAACAGCAAAGCCAGGATCTGAGTATGCTAATACTGCTAACTCAAGCCAACAGAGTCAGGATTCACAAACACAATCCAAAGGGAGTACCCTGCAACAATCCTGTATGTGTCGGTCTTCCCCGCTCATTAATGCATGATCAAGAGCACTGCATACAATCGGGTGGAGGGATGGAGGGCAAAACACCTTGGAGTCAAAGTAATCAGAGTCATGGAGGGAAAAAAAGGACGTAGCTGCTGTTTCCACAGAGGGTAAACCTACCACTGGTGTATACACTAGCGACAGACTAGCTCAGTAATGCGTCAAGACAATACTAACATTGAGAATGTACCTAGCGATAGACTAGCTAGTAGAGTACATTAGTGACAAGACAAGTGCAATATGATAATGGGCATACCTCAGTAATGCGTCAAGACAATACTGAGGTATTTGGACAATGCGAGAGGACCTAAATAGTGTTTGGCTAAGGGTCCGGGGGATCGTTGTGTGGAAGTGTCATATGGTGCGAAGGCAAGAAGCAAATGTAACATATGGTGTCGATGGTGGATCAAGATACATAGTAGAAGCATACGAGAAAAGCAAGGAAGTTTCTTACAATGTCCAATATGACGGACAAAGTCCAGTTCCTGCTGGTGTGCCTCCTAACCCACCAGCCAAGTCGACTGCTGTAGCCTTAACTCATCATCATGAGTGTTACGACTTGGATGGAGTCTGTTGGCGACGCTCAAACAGAGCTTGTGTCGTCAACGGTCTGTGGACGTCCTTGGGCTAGCCCAAGGTTAGGGGTCGTACTTGGCGGGTCTTCGGCAAGTACGATTTAACACCTATGTCCAAATCGGGTAGCTTATGTCACACGGGTGCGAGACGATAAGCTATATCGGCCTAGGCTTACGACACCCGAAGGTTAATCGTAAGGATCGTCGTTAATTAGAAGGACAGAAGTCCGACTAGTTAACAGGGGCTTTGCTCGTCGACGAAGTCGATGAGTAAAGGTCGAAACTATAGGCTTATCTGCGATGAGCAGATAAGAAGATAGAATATAGACTGCTGGCGAGGCAGAAAGGATCACTCAGTTAAGAGTAGGAGGTCAAGAACCAAGTAGATTCAAGTTAGGGAATATGGTACATGGTAGCAAGTTTATATAGAGGACAGGAGACGTATTAGTGGGTGATAACTCGTACTACCGGGAGAGGCAATCGGTAAAGGGTATGACTATAACAGGAAGGCACGTTCGGTCGAGGTAGAATGTGCTAGATAAGAAGGTGAGTCAAAGATCGAAATAAGAAGTGAAATGCGCAGAGGCACAATCGTGCAGCTGCGGATCTAAGTATAAGTCGCATGTGCGACTGCACACCGAGTCAGAGATCAAGAAAGGGAATAGGGCAAAGGGGATGCGTCGTGCATCGTGTCATAGGTTACCGTCCAGACGGTAAGGGCAAGGGGACTATCCACAGGATCAGTCAGGTGGTGAAACGGAGCATGGGTATGCTTCATCAGCGAAAGGGTCCGGCCAGATGTACTGGCTCTGCTGAAGCGACAGGTAGAGAGCGAAAGGAAATGCGAGGATGACGAGGATGACAAGGGTAAGGTCGGGGTAAGGGTAGGACACGAGGGCTGATACGAGGAGTATTAGGAGAAAAATGGTAGGGGCCCAAGCTTCTAGATGTTCTTGTAACAATGAGTGGTCATATGCTACCATTGAGGAACTCGAGCCTGATAGCTTGCCGTCGAGTCAAGTCATGGCTTGTATAGCTGGGCAGACATTGTCCACCATCCTCAACTCCAGTGCAACTTCTACCCTTATCATGAATTGCGAATTCTTCTGGTCCTTCAATGAGAATGCCAGCGTGCTTGTCAAAACAGCAAATCACGGGACCTTACAAATGTCAGGCAGAGGAAACTGTGTTGCGGAACTCACCATTGATGATAAGTGTCAACAAATCCAGCTAAGTGATTGCCTTCATGCACTGGGAGCATTAATTAACCTTATGTCCATCGGACGAATGCTGAAGAAAGGGTGGGAATGTAACTTTGACAGTGAAGAGGATCCTGTCAGCACATCTCTGCCACTCACTCCTGCTCCATCAGCATCACCTGCACCTGCACCATCCACACCCACAGTCCCTGACGACCCTCGTCATTCATTATGCTCTTGGGTTCTCACAAAGGCAGGACAAGCCTATGCTGACAAACACGAACAATTAGCATCTCTATGTGAGGCATGTGCAGGTTACGCTCATGAAAACACTGTCAGTGAGGGGGTGCCACCTGATCTACTTGAGGGGGTGAGTTTCTCACAAGAGGATGAGCTGATGGAGAATATCAAAGCCAATACCAATGTCCCCAAGTCAGTAACCAACCTCGTCATTGAGGAATAGGCCCATATTGCTATTTGTAGCAACAAGAAACGCAACCCCCACACTCCCGACTATGACATGAGTATTCCACCAGCTACTTATGATGAGGCAATGAAACAGCTGGATAGCACTTAATGGCTTGCTGCCATGAAAACTGAGCTGCAGACCATGAAAGACATGGGCGTATACAGACTGACAAAGCTGCCACCAGGATGTAAAGCCATCAGATGCTGCTGGGTTCTGGAATTTAAGAAAGACAATAAGGGGGGTCCAGTACAGAAAGCACACCTTGTTGCACAAGGTTTCTCACAGGTCGCCAGGGTAGACTACAGCACAACCTTATCAAAACAGCTTCAGTTCACTTTATTGCTGCTTTGGCCTGCCGCAATAACTGGGATCTTGATACCTTTGATGCTCGTTGTGCATTTCTATGGGGGGTTCTCAAAGAGGAGATTTACATGAGACAGCCAAAAGGTTTTGAGGATGGCAACTGGGTACTCATGATCTGGCTGATGCTCAGAACTATATATGGTCTGAAGCAATCTGCCATGGAGTGGTATGAGCAGGTACACACTGTCATGCTTGAGCTTAGCTTCACATGGTGTGCGGTAGATCACACTGTGTTCATTTACGACAAGGAGGGCACCACAGGGTGCATTTATCGTATTGTAGGGTGACATGTCGATGACAGAATGGGCACCAGCAACTCCAAAACCTTCCTCACCCACGTTAAGGGTCGCATCACGCAACATTTCAGTATCAAAGACCTTGACCCCATCCAGTGTTTTCTTGGTATCCAATTTGAATGTGATCACTCGACCCATCAGCTCTGGATGCATCAAGGCAAATATATCACTTACCTTCTCAATAAATACAACCTCCTTGAATGCAACCTGGTCCTTCTCCTCCTTGATGCCAACCATCCATTCAGTTGCGACTCTGACACCCACAATGACATTCCTAACCTCCCTACTCACTACTGGAAAATTGTTGGTGAGCTACTGTACCTTGCCGTCTGCACAAGAGTGGACGTCATTTTTGCCATCAATGCCTTGGCACAACACAACACTAGCCCTACTCCTCGCTACTTTGCAGCTGCCAAATGACTCTTACATTACCTTAGCGGCATGCTGAATCTGCTTGCCCACTTTAGTGGTGACCACATCAATGAAAACTTACACACTTACTGTGATGCAGATTGGGCTAGCTCAGCTGAGGATAGGTTATCCATATCAGGGTACACGTGGTTTTTCACTGGGGGACTGATCATGCATGTGTCGAAGAAGCAAACAACCCATGTGTTATCCTTGACTGAGGCTGAGTATATGGCAGTTACTCATGTCATGCAGGAGGGCCTATGGCTGAGGTTGTTTGTCACACAGCTCCATATCCTCATCACGTTCCCCATTATCATCTACATGGATAACACCGGCACCATATCCCTCTCAAAAAAAGCGAAAAATCACATCCACTCCAAGCATATCAATATTTGCTATCACTTCATTTGGGAATGGAATGAGGAGGGTGTCTTCCTGCCTCACTGGCTCCCATCCCACTGAAATGTAGCGGATGTCCTCACCAAGGCTTTACCATGTCCTCTGTTCACCAAGCATGTTACAAGTTTGTGTTCATTGTCTCGCTGAGGGGGTGTGTTGGCATATGTTCTCATTTACCTTTAGACTTGACATTACCTTCTTGATCTTATCATCTTCAACACCACATGTAACACAAATTCTTCTCTGATCGTCATAGCACTTGGCTTCTTGTCTGCATAGACCTTTCTGCTTGTCTGCATGGACACTTCCACTCGTCCTTTCACTGGTATTGTTATCTAATGTCTTGGACTCACATATTTAGTCCCAGTCGTTCCTCACAGCACCTCAGTATTGTTCTCGAATGTACTGAGGTATTCAGACTCTTCTCTCTTGTTTGTCTTGCACTTACTGATGTAACCTTAGAGTATCTTTGTCCGCTAGGTATATACAATCAATATAGTATTGTTCTCGAACGTACTGAGCATGTCTTTGTCTGCTAGTTCTGCTAGTGCCTTCAATCAGTTTTCTCGCCTCGTCTAGGAGGGTGTGATGTGTGACATGCTATGCATAGGTTTGTTATGTGTGATGACTAACTGAGTCTCGGACAGTTACACCCTTATTAAGCAAGCATGTTTCTTTCTTTGTACAAGCACAGAGATGCTCGCACTCAACCTGGAGACTCGGACACTCACCCTGTGGAGCTCCATCTGCAAGTTTACTTCCATTCAGCAACATTGGGATGTCTTCTTCCTATGTTGCTGCAGAGTCCTGTCAATGTGGTGTAGAGACTTGCATCTCCACAGACACTTCCCTTGAATTCTTCCACTTCCCTCATACACTCCAGCTTTAATCCAAAGGATATGTCCTGTGCAGTAGCGCACTATATTTTATTTTGCAGATTCCATGCACAGCCACTTGCACCGCGCATCCACCTTTGCATCATCCACATACCCATCTGTCTGTCCTCCCCATGTCCTTAGATGTTCATTGGTGTGTTTTCTCACTATATTCCCATTTTGACTAATTATTATTATTTCCATCGCTAATACTCGGCCTAGCGCTATGCACGCAGCTGAGACCCTATTACCTACTTGGCGTACTATATTTAGCTTACTCGGCTCGCTACATCGGACCTGCGCGCCTAGCGGCGCTTAGTTATTTTACATATACCATCCCTCTACTCTATTTTCTGGGTTGATTTTCCGCCCACTTTCTGTGTGTCCTTAGATACTAGGAATTTTATTCGTTGTTTGCCAGTGACTATCTAAAGTTGCATGCTTCAGTTATCCACTGTAGAGATTTGCACTATTGCTGTTACAAGAACATCTAGACACTTGGGCCCCTACCATTTTTCTCTTAATCCTCCTTGTATCAGCCCTCGCGTCATACCCTTACCCTGACCTTACCCTGGTCATCCTTGTCATCCTCGCATTCCCTTTCGCTCTCTACCTGTCGCTTCAGCAAAGCCAGTACATCTGGCCGGATCCTTTCGCTGACGAAGCATACCCATGCTCCGTTCCACCACCTGACTGATCCTGTGGACAGTCCCCTTGCCCTTACCGTCTGGACAGTAACCTATGATATGATGCACGATGCATCCCCTTTGCCCTTTCCCCTTTTTCGATCTCTGACTCAGTGCGCAGTCGCACATGTCACTTATACTTGGATCCGCAGTTACACGATCGTGCCCCTGCGCATTTCACTTCTTGTTTTGACCTCTGATTTACTTTCTTATCAAGCACGTTCTGGTTCACCCGTGTCTCACCCCGAACGTGCCTTCCTTTTATGGTCATGCCCTTTATCAATTGCCTCTCCCGGTAGTACGAGTATCATCCACTAATACGTCTCCTGTCCTCTATATAAACTCGCTACCATGTACCATATTCCCTAACTTGAATCTACTTGGTTCTTGACCTCCTACTCTCACCAGAGTGATCCTTTCTGCTTCGCCAGCAGTCTATATTCTATCTTCTTATCTGCTCTTCGCGGATAAGCCTATAGTCTCGATCTTTACTCATCAACTTCGTTGACAAGCAAAGCCCCTGTTAACTAGTCGGACTTCTGTCCTTCTAATTAACGACGATCTTACGATTAACCTTCGGGTGTCGTAAGCCTTGGCCGATATAGCTTATTGTCTTGCACCCGCTTGACATAAGCTACCTGATTTGGACATAGGCGTCAAATCTTACTTGCCGAAGCCTCACCAAGTAAGACCCCTAACCTTGGGCAAGCCCAAGGACGTCCTCGACCGTTGACGACACACGCTCTGTTTGAGCGTCACCAACAGATACCATCCAAGTCGTAACAATTGCGGGTCTGCAACACATTATACTTCAGTGCATACTATCCAGGTTTGCAGCTTCAACTCGCAGCATCATTCCCTAGCCTTTTCCCAGCTATTTCCATATTGGGCAATGCTTTCCTGCATGCGCAACCCTCTCGTGATGTTCTCGCGCTCGCTTTCATCACCCTATCATCCAGGAGCATCCACCCACTGTCCAGCAAGTCTCCCTGGTATGTATTTTTGCTTTTATTCAATATGGCACCATATTAGAGCATGGACCCTGACTTACATACATTATTACATACATTATCTCACACTCGGCTCACTTAGCGAGACACATATATAGGTCCACACTTTTCACCCTTTACCAGATGACACCACTCCTTACCTTAGTGGAGTTCCCTCATGATGTCCATAGCCTGATTTAGAATTTATTAGCAGTTTTTTTTTTTTTTTTTTTTCATTGAGCCCTCATTTATTGCTCATTGCATTTCGCATTCCCACGCCTCACGCGCATGTCGCTCGCTTCGCACAGCCACTGTGCAACTGTGGATTTGTCTTCTTTGCTTCCCCTTGGATCGAATGTGCTTGTCCCTGCAAGCATAGCAGACTAGGCATCGCACTGATCACTATATCAGCTTCTTGTGTCCTTCCCTTGCATTTACCATTTGACCTAGAGCTGAGTTGATTCACCTTCAGTGCATTCGCCTATCTGCCTTCACCTTAGCATCAGCCAACCTTAGTTGGGGTGCTAACAGTCTTTTCATATCACCTATCCTTACTCTCTCTCACTTGTTTGCCATTCGCCTTTGCTTGCATGTATTTACCTTCGCATTTCACACCCATGCATCCACTTTCCACTTCTTGCAACACATTCGCCTTGCGCTTTGTGAGCCTTAGTGGTTTATCTCCCTATCATTGGTTCGGTGTCCCTCTTTTTATAAGAGAGGTTTTCCCTTTACCCAGTTAGCTGCCCTTGGGTCGATGATTATATTCATGCCTGGGTCTATCTGTGTTTGCTTAGCTTAGCACCAACTTTCCCCACAGTTTAGATTCCTCTTCTTTCTCAGCAGTCATTGCAGGCAATTTTCAGAGGTATTAGTTGAGTTGCTTGCAGGTAGCAATGTGCTAATGAGTGAATCAGTAGATTAAAGTTCAAAACTTACATAAATGATGCCAAGGACTGCAGTAATGTCACATGGGACATAGTAGACCCTGATGCCCTCTCTGACTCAGCATGGATAATGATTCTAACATGTAAAGTACATATGGAGACAGACATCATAGCTACTACTGAGTCACTATGTAGGTACGAAGTATTTCAGAACAGAAAATCTATGGTCGCCTACAGTTGTATTGAGTCATTATGAAGATCGGGTTTTGTTCCACTTTGTGTTACAATAACATTTACTCCTATTCTATTTTTCTTTTTCCTGTAACCATGCCGCTGATTCTAGACTCATCTAGACTCGGCTATTCTCTTATCAAGCGGGCTGTCCGCACTTCTCTTCTATCTTGATTGTAACATAGATACTATCTTGCGCCGCATGGCGGTTTCACCTATCTTTGCTATCTTGATAGGTTGTACTCTTTTCCTATCTTTGTTACCTTTCTTGTCGCGGCTACACCGCTTCCTTTTACCTATATAAACCCCATGTACCATAGATATATTCCTTAACTTAATCTACTGGGTTTTCCCCTTGAAACCTGATCTACTAAGGTCTCCACCCTTAGTAGCCTGAACTCTGATTCTAAGGCAGTCACTCACTGTCTTAGCCTGAAACCCTTGATTGCGGTAGAAGTGCTAAAACCACTCACCGCCTAGGCAGAAGTGCTAAAACCACTCGCCGCTGATCCTGCACAGAAGCCGCGGCTCGTGCAGTAGGAACCCCCAGAAACCTTCCTTGTATTAGGAAGGCCAACGAACTGTTCGCCCGACAGGTCTATCTTGACCGGCAACAGCAGAACTATCCCAGTCGTAACACTTTGACAGCCTGATGGATACTGCAGCTTCCATCGTCATGTTGCCTACAGCTGGCCCCATGTGCCCAGTTGTGTCATTAGGTAACCTGGTGACTCCTGGATCTACTCACGAGAGCTGGTGAAGAAGCTTCCACGACATGAATGGTACTGTGCCCTAGTCATTTTGTGAGCAGTTGTCCATTGAAAACAGAGTCAGGGAGTAAAACACTGACCATACCACCAATAAGGTAGTAATTGCTCTGCAGAATATGCACAGCAAATTCCCAGTCTATCATTGTGCCATGGGAGCCATTACCGTTGTCCTCAATCATAGAGTTGTTAAGGCTGCAATCTTGATGCAGAATACCTCGCTCTTTGACTGCTATCTTTTGAACTGGAAAAAGGTAGATCAAAATTTTGGATATCATCGCATGGCGTGTACTTACTGGTGATGATATCCCGGATTGCACTCACTAACTCTGCCTTTGTGCAGAACATATGCAATGGTTGTGCATGGGGCTTTAAAACCAGCTGGATATGAGTGCAGAAGGTACCTTCTATACTCTCCAGTGTTTTATAGCGATATTTCTCTGTTTCATCAACCTCCCTAGGTGCAATCTTGACAAGCCAGTGCTCAACAAGTTTGGGTATGCCACAAACCCCCTTCATCTCGTTCAACATGATGACCTCATTTAACATGTCCTCCTTACCCCCTAAAACCCAATGATCTTTTATTATGTATTCCTCCTCACCCCTCCTTGTCAAGTAGCACACAGTGCGATGACTGACAAGGCCCTAGCTAGAGAACATAACTTCCAGGATATCATAGTAGCTATGGTTGACTCAAACTTTTTCAATCGGCTCTGGAAGAGGTGCAAGGAGGGGATCTGCAGAAAGGGGCATAGGAAGACCTTCCTGGAGGAGGAGTTCTTCTGGGAGAGGGTTTTCAGGACCTTCAGGATCTTCAGGCAGGGGATGTTCGGACAGAACCGATGGCTCAGGACCCTCTGGCTCGGATATGGGATCATCTGCCAAAGCGCCACTCTCAAGGATAACAGGTGTGCTATTGTTTGGTTGTTTAAGATCATATTTGGCAGTTCCAGTGGTAGGACAAGTGAAGGTGGAGGAATGTTGGAGCTGGCAGGGCTGAAGCATCTTATTAAAGATACTGATGGTAGGATCATACCCAATGCACTCAAGGTCGCCAAAAACAATGCACGAGAAGGTATGTAAGAATCTGTCTGGATCCTGGTCAATATTGATGCAAGGGGTTACGATACCACCCGAGTGATCATACAAATGCATGCAAAGATCTCGATATTCATTGCAAACTGAGAGGAGTAAAATGAAGCGTCTTCAGGGCTGGCGCCTTAAAAAAAGGTATGCCTTGCTATCGATAGTCTTAGCAATAGTAGAGGTAGGATGGTACCTTCAGAAAATCAGCTCACAGTTTTTGCACAGGTAGATGAACAATCAACATACTTTTGGGATGTCAACTCGCACACTGCCTTGATCATATCCCACCTAGCCTTCACATCATCTAGTAAGGCTAAATCTGGTTTGCACTTGATGTCATTGTCCTTGACTGGGTGCGTGGAGTTTGCACCACTCCATGTCCGTATCACTCCACTGGGATTGAATTGGGTGAGCTTGTCATTTGCTGCAGCGAGGGCAATGGCAACAGTATTGAAGAACCCTGTGAAGCTCGTCTCATCACTGATTGATGATGATAATATTTGTTATGACTTGGATGGTATCTGTTGGCGACGCTCAAACAGAGCATGTGTTGTCAACGGTCGAGGACATCCTTGGGCTAGCCCAAGATTAGGGGTCTTACTTGGCGAAGCTTCGGCAAGTAAGATTTGACACCTATGTCCGAATCGGGTAGCTTACGTCAAGCAGGTGCTAGACAATGAGCTGTATCTGCCAAGGCTTACGACACCCGAAGGTTAATCGTAAGATCGTCGTTAATTAGAAGGACGGAAGTCCGACTAGTTAACAGGGGCTCTGCTTGTCGACGAAGTCGATAAGCAAAGATCGAGACTATAGGCTTATCTGCGAAGAGCAGATAAGAAGATAGAATATAGACTGCTGGCTAGGCAGAAGGGATCACTCTGGTGAGAGTAGGAGGTCAAGAACCAAGTAGATTCAAGTTAGGGAATATGGTACATGGTAGCGAGTTTATATAGAGGACAGGAGGCATATTAGTGGGTGATAACTCGTACTACCAAGTGAAGTAAACGGTAACGGGCATAACCATAAAAGGAAGGCACGTTTGAGGTGAGACACGGGTGAACCAGAACGTGCTCGATAAGAAAGTGAGTCAAAGGTCAAAATAAGAAGTGAAACGCGCAGGGGCATGATCATGCAGCTGTGGAGCTAAGTATAAGTAACATGTGCGACTGCGCACTGAGTCAGAGATCGAGAAAGGGAAAAGGGCAAAGGGGATGCATCGTGCATCATATCATAGGTTACTGTCCAGACGGTAAGGGCAAGGGGACTGTCCACAGGATCAGTCAGGTGGTGGAACGGAGCATGGGTATGCTTCGTCAGTGAAAGGATCCGGCCAGATGTACTGGCTCTGCTGAAGCGACAGATAGAGAGCAAAGGGGAATGCGAGGATGACAAGGATGACCAGGGTAAGGTCGGGGTAAGGGTATGATGCAAGGGCTGATACGAGGAGGATTAGGAGAAAAATGGTAGGGGCCCAAGCGTCTAGATGTTCTTGTAACAATATTGGTCCTGGAGGTGGCAGTGCTGTGCCAACATCAGGCAGGTCTGCCAGTCATCCGAGTCTATGCCAACTGCTACATCCTTGCCATCATTCCCTTCTTCTTCTGAGTCCTGTTCTTCATCCTCTTTATCATCCTTCTCATCCTCTCTGAGATCCTGCCTACTTTTGTCAGGTGACTTGCTAGCACACCACTCGCATGTGGGAAGCACCCAATGATTCACAGTATCATACAGTGACACTGACTTGTTTTTGCCCTTGTTGGTGAAATTTTGTTTTTTCCTGAAATTACGAAGGTAAAGTGGAGTTTTGGTATTTAAAGAAACAGTAAGTGAATTTGCAAAAGGAATTGTAGGGCTAAAGGTTTTGAATATCAAGGAAAGTACATGGCTGGGGTGCTCATCAGGTTCCTGTAAAATCAAAGCATTGAGTTCCCTTTCAGTGAGTACATCCATGGTAGGAACATCATTTATCTTGGGTGCAGACATCAGAGATAAAAGTTTCATCCCATAGTCTACAGACCAAGGTTGGGCGCATACGTATGGCATGGTTGTTAAGAGACTAGGTGAACAATGACATGCCAGCACTTCACACCATAAGGAAACATCCTGAATCATCACAAGATTTGTCTATTGGGGGTAGATCATGTACATATTCTTATGCTGATAGAGGGAAAAAGGTATTTTTATCCCAAAAGGGATTCAACCAGAACTCTGATGCATGTTCCAAACTGTTATATGCAGTGAGATGCATGTCTGCAACAGCACCAAAATGTGGAATGAGATTGACAGATACAACACCCCCTATGCAAGTCTCATTAGAGCGCTTTGCTCTCTTGAGCAAATGCAGCTGTGTGATCAGGTCATGATCACCAGAGATGTTAAAGCATTGGACGTAAGTCAAGAACTGATCTTTCTATGTTGAAGGGGTGCCATGTTTGGCCACTAGATGCATGATAAGTCGAAGCTGTGCTATGACGTGACCTGAGGAGATGGAATATGAATTAAATTAAATTAAATTAGATTGATATTTCAGCATGAGACAAGACAGAAGCTTACCTGAAAGACTGCTAGTCGGCTAGGGGTACCCTGCTTTAGTCTGGACAATGATTGTGTCTTAATGACCCAAAATCTAGGGGCCACCAGGCGGTGCACAGTTCAGTGTCTGAGCAGGTCAAATACTACGAGGATTATGAAATTCTGTGTCTTGAAGCCAGATTTTGATCCATACTTGGAGGTTGTCAAAAGAAAGTATAGCAGAATGTTCAGCTCTTCTAGGACCACCTATTGGATGAATGTATTGATGTCCAAAGGTGGCCTCATGTTGGAGGTAATCAGCAATAGCTGACCACAGATCAGGAAGGCCAAACTTGTCAGCAATCTCATTGACAGTGACCTTCCTAATGGCGGAATCGTAGGAAAGATGGAAGGCGGTGCATTCAATGATGAATGAGCATAGAGGTAAGGGTACCGAATCCATATGCTGGAGCTTCCTAGCAATAGAAAAATAGTTGGTCTACGGTCCATTCATCTGGATACTCACATCCCATTACAGACACTCAATAGTTTCGTCAGTGTCAGTGTCAACATCATCTTGAGGGTCTACGTTGACATCCTGCACTTGCGAGTGCAAGCTTTGATCATGATCTAAAAGGTTAGTGGCAAGCTCGAATCGACGACACTTGTCAGCTCAGTTGAGATGTCAACAGATCTGCAGATCATAGTTGACGTTGTTGCTAGATCTTGCAGGGTCCTTAATCTCTGTGATCTGTGCATATTCGGTAATGTCTGCAGTCCATTGGCTTATGACACCACTATTGTGAATGCTAGGGACAATGCTCTGCATCAATTCAAGCTTAGGTATATGCCAATTATTGATGGCTTTATTGTGGTGCCTCCAATGAGCCCCAGCAGCAATAATTGTGTCCTTCATTGTATGAAATTCATCCAGGTCACCAGAGATAAGCTTGAGATTGTTCTTGTTAATGTGTAGCAACTGCACAAGGTAACAGAATTGCATGAGTGCGCATACTGCAGCAAGGACACTGGGGGTGCTGCATCCTCACTAACTGCAATAATAGATTGCTGGATGTCATGGTGACAATGACCAGTGACTTGTTTCAACTTCAATATCCCTTCACGAAAGTGCTGAAACCCGGTGATGGGCTGTAGAACAGAGAATCAAAAGTCAATTTCAGATTGTCCGACAGATACAATGAGCCATTGTGCATCATGGTTGTAGAACTCTTTATGGATGTGGTGGAGCATTTTGGGGGGTAAGAAAATGGGAAGGATCTGCAGGTATCCAGTCACTCCAGAATGGCTTGTCGACACCGTTTAGGCAAAATTTCTGAGCTTCACGGAAATAAGCCTCAAGATCATTTGGATCAGCATGTGAGCAAATCACAGCAAGCTGAGCAAGAGTCGTCGATCTTGTCCTAGGTTCATGCTGAAAGCTGTCTCTGAACTGTGTATACATTGCCATTGTCACAGGAGATGTTTTCCCCACAACAGCTGCCAGCATCATTGCTTCAGGTGTATCGACAATATAACTTGCGAGGGTAGTAAAGCAATAGTGACTGCACCCAATGGGATCAGACAATATGATACCATGTTCAGCAGCCTGTTTCAGTGGATGTAAAATGATGCTGAGGCATTGGTGGATAAGACGATCCTGCAACACACCCTTCATGTGTTTTTTCTTGTGAACAAACTTCGGGACAGGTAGAAGCACAGTAAGGACAAAAGAGTGGGTCGACAATTTTGAGTGTGTGTTCATGTGTAGATTGGCAAGGCTGATGAGGAGTGGGTGAGCGACATGATCGCCTGTCAATGATGAAATAGTAGTCTTGTCTGAGGATAAAATTGTGCTGAGGAGGGTTGCACCCACAGGTAAAGTGGACTTCAAGGAAATATGAGCTATTGATTTCACCCTTTGATATGTTACATACCTGAATTTCCCAAGCACAATCTCCTGTCATCCATTCAGTATATACATGGCAGGCTTTCTGCACACAAGTATATACTCTGCAAGTGCTGTAGTCCATAAAATCATGAAACAGTGGATGGTTGAAGATATTCGAGATGCACTCAAGAGAATCACACCAGTACAGAACAATGGGTAACTTCATAGGATGTGTTGTAGTGATCACTTGCGACTTCCAGCATGGACCACTGGGCAACATTTCAGCTCAGCCCTGTAACTCTCTTGCTGAGTGGAATGATAAAGATAAGTCCTTGATCTAGATACTCTTTAATTTAAGCCATAGCAATGACCTTGAATTTGGGAGACACTCGTTATTTAGAGGCCTAGAAATGCATCTATCTTCCCCATGCTTAATCCCAAGTGCAGAAGCCATGATGAAATTTGCTATTTTTTCTGAGAGCTGATTGGATAAAAGAGGTTTGTTTTGCGATATATGCTGTTCTCGTTGGAGTCGAAGAGACTCAAAAATGTGTATCCATCCTCAAAGGCAAGTGAGGAATTAGGAAAATAGTCTATAGCTTTGCTGCTCTCATCCTGTATTTTGTCCTGATGTGTTCTCTCCATACTCTCTCCTCTTCACTAAAAACATCATCCGAATCCATGGATCCCACTAGTTCATAGGAATTGGATATGTAAGGTTCGGCAATGTTATCCACTTCCATGACATGATCTTCCAGGGAGCAGCTGTATTGCTCGAGTTGGATCAGGTCATTGAGCCACGTATTACACCTGGATAAGGGCTGACTCATATGGTGAGCGACAGATGAGTGATCTTTGAATTTTTTGCCACATGAAGGACAATAACTTGAAGCTTTGGGCATGCTGAAGTCATCAATGTGCGAAGTCCCAAACAAGTCACAGGCCTGGCATTTTCCAATAATCCTTCTTCACATATTGTAATGACCATTTCTACTCTATAATCCTTATCAGTTAGCACTTCTGGTTCACACTTGTGAAATTCTCTCCAGGCCTACCACAACAGCATTGGAGACTCTTGCGAGCCATGTTGTTCGAATCTACACACCAGTTATCACACTACTAGTGGTATGTCCAATATATTGGAAGTTGTTGACAATTTCAATGCTATGGTGAGTCAGTCTTTCAACATTTTTGTAAAATCTCAAAATAATCGGCATTTCAACAGTCCATCAGAGATCCATCTGATGGTGAAGCAAACCTGATGATGGACCTTGTAAGAGTAAAGTGCAATGTTTTCCAAGCTGAGAAGGCCCTCGCAAATTCAATACTACGAGAACATGAGGTTTTGTCAAGCTTGTTGAGATTCCAAGCTGAAACTGCAGGGAAGAGGTTGGATGATGCGGACCTTGGCCTAGGATATATGTGAGTTATCTTTAAGAGGCACAGTTGGACTCCTTATTCTCAGGCCCCTCTATCTGGACAAGGATGTTTGCATGCTGGTAAGCTTGTTATAATGGTACCCCAGGATAAACTGATGTCTGAACACATCACAGATAACTTATAAAATGCACAGCATGTCACCACTCGGCTTAATTAATTCTGTTTGTTGGCGGTGCTTTCGTCATTTTTTTTTCATGTTCAACATACTATGCACTATGTAGATTCTTGTGATATTATTTATATGTCCAAAATATATGTTGTTGCATTGGTTTGTAATTTTTGGTGCGCTACTGCGAGTGATGTAAATATTGTGAAATATAGTATATACTACTAGTGTGATCATGACACTTGCAACTTGAAGCTGAGATTGCTGTAATTGAGCCTACTACTTGTCAAAGCCTGAAAGAAACTGTGACTCTGTGAGTCACTGGAGGTAAGTGGTGCTGTAGTGACTGTATGCTGTGAGCTTTGTGTGTACTGTAAAGTTCTGTGGTTGGCTGTAGCTAGAATGCAAATTTAAGCCTTCTGTAGACAAACATGGTAGTTTGCTGATGTGTGTGAATAGCTCCTTAAATGCAATCAAAGCAGGAAAAATGAGAATAAATGCAAATTCATAACAGAAACATCAGGAAAATGTCAAGTCCCTTATTTCATTTTAAACACAACTTTTTTGACTTATCACATCAAATAAGGAGAATCAAGTCAAAACTTTGTTACTTCAAATAAGGAGAAATAAGTAGGTCCTTGTCCTTAGGACAAGGAGATCAATTACTCAAGGAGGATCAGGCAAGCAAAAAGCAGTCAAAAGTCACTATTAGCAGGTGTAAGACAAATCAATAAGTAGCTCAAGGCACAAGTCCAAGGAAATTAAGCAGTGTGGAATGAGGGACTAAAATGCTAAATAAGTGGTGCTAAGTGGGTAGAGTAATGCATAAAAATGTTCAAGGGAGGGTATAGTATTGCACAGTTGAAGCTGCTGCTGGTGCGAAGATAATGGACTTGCAGTAGAGTGTGTTACAACTTGGATGGTATCTGTTGGCGACGCTCAAACAGAGCTTGTGTCGTCAACGGTCTGTGGACGTCCTTGGGCTAGCCCAAGGTTAGGGGTCGTACTTGGCGGGTCTTCGGCAAGTACGATTTAATGCCTATGTCCAAATCGGGTAGCTTATGTCACGCGGGTGCGAGACGATAAGCTATATCGGCCTAGGCTTACGACACCCGAAGGTTAATCGTAAGGATCGTCGTTAATTAGAAGGACAGAAGTCCGACTAGTTAACAGGGGCTTTGCTCGTCGACGAAGTCGATGAGTAAAGGTCGAGACTATAGGCTTATCCGCGATGAGCAGATAAGAAGATAGAATATAGACTGCTGGCGAAGCAGAAAGGATCACTCTGGTGAGAGTAGGAGGTCAAGAACCAAGTAGATTCAAGTTAGGGAATATGGTACATGGTAGCGAGTTTATATAGAGGACAGGAGACGTATTAGTGGATGATACTCATACTACCGGGAGAGGCAATTGATAAAGGGCAAGACCATAACAGGAAGGCACGTTCGGTCTAGGTAGAACGTGCTAGATAAGAAAGTGAGTCAAAGATTGAACTAAGAAGTGAAACGCGCAGGGGCACGATCGTGCAGCTGCGGATCTAAGTATAAGTCGCATGTGCGACTGCACACCGAGTCAGAGATCAAGAAAGGGAATAGGGCAAAGGGGATGCGTCATGCATCATGTCATAGGTTACCGTCCGGACGGTAAGGGCAAAGGGACTGTCCGCAGGATCAGTCAGGTGGTGAAACGGAGCACGGGTATGCTTCGTCAGCGAAAGGATCCGACCAAATGTACTGGCTTTGCTGAAGCGACAGGTAGAGGGCAAAAGGGAATGCGAGGATGACAAGGATGACAAGGGTAATGTCGAGGTAAGGGTACGATGCGAGGGCTGATACGAGGAGGATTAGGAGAAAAATAGTAGGGGCCCAAGCGTCTAGATGTTCTTGTAACATTACCCCGGTTTCTAGGACTGAAATCAACGAGTTCAGTTATCCATGTTGTCATACCAGGAGGGGTCGCAGTCGAGGTCACGGAGTATGTCCATGGCCTCTAAAGCATTCTCTTCTCTATCTTGTTCGAGTCGCGCAGCATCATGATCATATGCTGCTTCTAACTGACGCATATCAGTGTAGAACGTTTCCGAAGATATTCCTCGACGAAGGATCTTCTTGCCATGAAGGCGAGGGCAGAAGGGGGTGAGATGTCTGGGGGCGAACAGTCCACAAATGCGGCAGAAATATCGCTCGCATTGTTTTTGTTTGTGGCCGTACTGGTGGCAGACCCTGCACTTAAAGTTGCACTGGTAAGGTTGTGGGGTCGTTCTAGTGTGCGTGTCGTTAAGTAGTTGTTGCCTAGTGGGATCCTGGCCCGGTACATGTCGAGTGGTGGGTAATCCGAGTGCAAGGATGCGCTCGGTATTCAGTCGGCGACTTCGTCGGGGTCTACGTGTGGGTGGAGGAATGGGGACAGGGGTATCGTCCCTGATGATCGGTGACCCGATAGATAATATTGGTATATCATCGGTAGAGGTGAACCCTGGAGGGGGAGTGGTAAGACGAGCTTCCAAGCTTGGTTTGTTTTCTTCGTTCGTCTTTCTCCAAGGTGGTGTGCGAGTTTCCTTACTCGACTTTTCTTCTTCGTGCTTCTTCTTCCCTTTATAGGGAGCAGGTAATGGGTCGTTGGCTACGACCTCGTCATTGATGATGGCGGCTCGGAGTTCTTCGAGTTCGTCGCTAGTCATCATCCTGTACTGCTCTTCTTCGTGTTCTGCGAACAGCTTGTCGATTTCTTCGGATGTGAGGTTGGTGGGAATAAGGTTGGTTCATTCAGGGGGAGGGGTTGGAGCACTGCACTCGGCAGTACGCTCGACAATGGTTGCCTGTACAGGCGGTTGGTTGTATGCGATCTCTTCTTCTATCTTGACGACTACATCGCCAAAATTCCTGGATGCGAGAAGGTTCAAGAGGGCCCTCTTGGCCTTTGTAACGGAGTACCGAGTGATCGGGCTATGGGGAAGGATGCTGTACGGTCCGGTTGTGAAAGCGACAGTGTCAACTGCCCAAAATGCGTTGACAAGCTCCAGGAGAACCGTGTCTTTGGTACGGTCAATATAGCTGTCGAGTCTAAGCGTGTACTGCACGTCGAGAATAATGGCCTCCCAGAATGCCTTCTGAGAGTCCTGGGTCTGCGTGAAAGGAACGGTGAACTCGTGGATGAGTTCGACAATGGAGGGTGTGGAACCAAGAGAGATGGAGGAGGCATTGGACGAAGTGGTAGACATGGAGATGGTGGTAGCTGGTTAACAACTGAGGAGCTTTGTTGTCAGCTTGAGTCTCTTCTTATAGTCCTTGAGCATCTCCGCTGCGGACTTCAAGTCCTTCTCTGGGATCCACGTTCGTTCGGAGGGTGGATAACCAACCCAGGAAACCAGGTATCGGTGTTTCGTTCCGGTACCCCTGTGTTGGAGGATCGCTTCTATTTCGTAATGTTCTTCCCCGTCGATCAGGTCCGGTGGCGGTTCAGTATAGTTTGGGCCATGCACGTCTGTTTCTTGATAGGAGGATAATTCTGATGCATGGAACGTGGGGTGAACACGCCAGGTGGCAGGGAGTTCGAGGGTGAACGTGATGGGGGAAAGGACCTGTTTAACAGTAAAGGGTCCGTATCGTTTTGGTGCGAGTTTCTTTGAAGGGAAGTGGGTGATCAAATGTGCAGCAGATAGCCACACCTTGTCCCCAACCTTCCAAGGTTGGTACTTTAGCCCGAACGTGCGTTCTGCCATGCGTTGCTGCGCAAGGCTGTGTCATGCAAGGGCTTCTTCACGGATCTTCGCGAGTTTCTTGACTCGATCTTCTGCTGCTGGCAGAGCTGAGTCGGGGAAGGCGTAAGGTATGCCTTTGGGTTCGTAACCCATCATAAGGTAGAACGGGGATGTGTTCCGAGCGGAGTGTCCTCTGGAATTGTGGACGAATTCAGCCATAGGAAGATGTTTGGCCCAATCGTTAGGAGTTGTCCTACAATAGATCCGGAGGTATGTTTCCAGCTCTTGGTTCATTCGTTCTGTCTGCCCATCCGTCTGGGGGTGATAGGCAGTGGAGAGGGCTACCTGGTAGTCCAGGAGCCGTCCGAGTTCTTTTGCTAGCTTCGAGGCGAATTGTGGGCCTCGATCGGAGATGATCTTGTCGTATAGTCCGAATCGCATAAACACCTTTTTGTAAAATAATTCAGCAACGCCTTCTGCAGTGATGGTTTTCTTGCAAGGCGAGAAAATTACCCCCTTCATAAGCCCATGGTCGACCATGACCATAATGGAATCATAGCCGGCGCTCTCCGGAAGATCAGTGATAAGATCGACTGAAACTTGGGAGAATGGTCGGGTACAGGTGGAGGGAATAGGCATAATGGGAGGTGTGGTGGGATGAGTGTCGGATTTCATCTGCTGGCACATAGTGCAGCCATCAACATATTGTCGGATGAAGGTGCCCATGCCGGGCCACCAATAGCTTTTCTTGATGTTCCATTCTGTATTGGAACATCCGGGGTGCCCGGCAGTCGGGTGATCGTGGTGGAGCTCCAGAATGCGCTTCCGGAGGTCAGGGGGAACGTAGGCTCGGTCCTTGAAATAAAGGATGCCTTCGTCCATGCGCCAGTCTGACAAGGCAGACTTCATAGGGGGGGCGCAGAGGCCATTTAAGGCGTCAGCTGCTGTCTTTATAGTGAGATCAGCAGGGTTATTGTTCGCTGCTTTGAACTTTGACGCTAAGGCAGTGTCAATAAGTTTAACAAAGAGTGAATCTGGGAGGAGGACAACGTCCTCATTATCTCGATCCGAATTGTCATGATCCGGTTGTCGGGAGAGAGCATCGGGTGCAGCAAGCTTGCTGCCCGGGACATGGTGGAATTTATATGGTCAAAACAGAAATAGGTTTCAAACTTTGGAAAAAATATCTTTTCCTGGGCTGGTACATCATTTAGAGGCATCTTCCAGGAATCATATGAACCAAGAATTAAGAAAAACGGCGGTTGGAATATGGAGATATGGTCGAAATACTGACTTTTTTGCCCCTCCACCAAACCGCAATATTGGCGACCTCTATACACCCTGGGACCATCTCCAATCGATTTGTACGACTGAAAAACAGTAGGAACACTATTTTCAGTATCGGCCTTGAGTCAGATTTGAGTGTGGTGCGATATAGGGGGTAGGGGGGGGGAGGAGGACATTCTATATCTCGACAACCTGATTTTTCCTGACATATTGGGCTTTACCATCGTGTTCAGGGACATTGAGAGCCCCCTGGAAAAATGCTTTTGGAGGGCATGCAAGTCATGGGAAGGCTAGAAAAATCGATCTTTGAGGGGGGTATGTGACAAATTCGCACATGTCACTTTGTATGGTCTCAAATCGCTCTGGTATTATTTTCAATCGATTTATATCATTGGAAAACAGTAGGGACACCCTTTTACATACCGGTATTTACATAATAGGAAGATATGTGAGTTTGGGGGGGGAGGAGGACCTTCTGTATCTCGACCACCTGATTTTTTCTGACAATTCGGGCTTGACCATCTTGTTCGCAGCTATCAAGAGCCCCCAGGAAAAATGGATTTGGAGTCATGGCAAGTCATGGGAAGGCCAGAAAAATCGATCTTTGAGGGGGGGTATGAGGTCAACTTACACATTACATTTCATATTGGCCAAAAACACTTTGAACACATCTTCAATCTATTTTTATGATCCAAAAACACTATTCAAATCCTTTTTACATCAGTATATACATGAAATCATGCTTCATGGTGGAGTAGGTAGGGGGAGGGGGTAGCATGACTCTGAAACATGATTTTTTCGGACAAAATAAGCATTGCCATCGCATCCAGGGTGGTTAATAACCTTAGAATCAAGTTTCATTTGAAGCCAGGCAAGTCATATGAAGGCTGAAAAAATCAACCTTTGAGTGAGGCAACAGGACAGGGGCGACCCTGCTTACATAAGCAAATGCGGATAGGTGGGCACACTTGAAGCAAGACACCACATATCAGAGACCTGTTGCTCATAAATGTACATAGATCGATTGTGGTTGTATTTAGTTTGAGATTGAGACATTACAGTCATCAAAAGGCTAAGACAGTCGACCTTTGATTGAGCACCTCAGCATGGCAACCTTACACTCACTCTTCACTCATAACTTTAGAACATGATTTTTTTGAACAAAAGTAGCATTACCATTGGAATCCGATGGTTCAATAACCCCCATTGAGATGTCTATTCGACACAAGGCAAGTCGTACGAAGGCTGAAAAAATCGATCATTGTGAGGCAATAAGACAGGGGCGACCCTGCTTACATAAGCAGATGCGGACACCTGAGCACACTTTCAGCAGACTCCACAGATCAGAGGTCTGATGCTTCTAAATGCACATAGATCTACTGCGTTTGTACCAAGCTTTAGATTCAGATCATGTCTTGAGTCTTCCTAATAGGATTCCTTCTCAGTAGCTGTCCTTGGGTAGACTTTTGCTTGCATTCAGGACTTACTGTGATTCCTCCTATGCAGCCCCTGCAGGTCCAATTACTACAATTTGCATGCAATGGCAATACTTCAGCGTGCGAAGTTGGGAATGAACGTCAGTCAGGTGCTTTAGCGAAGTAGAGGTCAAACTAACACTGTCCTTGGTAGATTTTTGCTTGCATTCAGGACTCACTGTGATTCCTTGGTTTCTTGCTCATTTTCCCCACAGTTTCGATTCCTCTTCTTCACTTCATCAGTCTTCTTCATTTTGAAGTCAGCAGTGCTTGCAGGGCAATCCACTTTAGCTTTGTCATGTGTCATGTGAGACACCTCATCTCTAATGCGCTGATCTAATGCATGGTCAAAGCCAATGCACTTGAGCCTCGCAAGGTACAACTTCTGCAAAGCTTCATGAGTTATCCACTACTGGTAGCGTGAGTTGGGTACACATGTAGTAGAAATGACCCACCTAAAGAAGTAAATTTGAAGGTAAACACCGTGCCAGGATGGTCGTCCCAAACTGGTTTGTAGCTCGTTTGTTCTACCCAGTCCAGCCCCGCAGGCCTGTTGCTCCTCAATGTATATGAATTGATTGTGTTTGTACTAACTTTATATTGAGACATTGAAGTCATCAACTGTGCATGCCACCCGCCTTGTACATATCTTATATATGACTCATTGCGCCCTGCGCCCTTTCCAATCCACTGGTGCTATCATTACTCATGTTCTGGGTCGATTTTCCACCCACTTTCTCTGTGTCCTTAGATACAAGGGAATTTTCCTTGTTGTTTGCAGTGACTATCTAAGTCTCGCACATTAGTTGTCAGTCCTTCGCCTTAGCATCAGCCAACCTTAGTTGGGGTGTTAACAGTCATCTTGCTTTGTCTTTCTCTCGTCTCGTTCGCTCATGGTGCTATCTCTTTCATATTTGATTCTACATCATTTTGGTAGTGCCTTGAATCTTTTACATATCTTATCTATGACTCATTGCGCCCTGTGCCCTTTTCATTCCACTGGTGCTATCTCTTTCATATCTAAATCTTCACTATTCTCGTGGTTACATATGACTCACTTCCCCTCTGCCCATACAATTGGTGACTCATTGCGCCCTCCGCCCTTTCCATTCCACTGGTGCTATCTCTTTCATATCTAATTCTACATCATTCTCGTGGTGCATATAGTTCTCCATGACTCATGCACTTTGATATTCCTACTTATTTCGCAGTTCTTCCCTTCCTACCTATACGTAGACGCCACAGATGCCCTGTATTATTGACTAATAGATATTCTTTTGCTAAGTATATGTTACAATTCAACAGGCGAGGGCTTTTTAATCACAGCACACTCCTCTATTGGTGTCATCTTGTTGATAATTGTGCTGGCTATTGTCAAATAGCAGGTACCATTATCAACAGGATGACTTCCATGGAGGAGTGACACCAGCAAAATAAGTGAACTCAGCTGAGTAAAAAGGTGCAAAATTGCAAAAATCACTGGGCCTGTTATCAACAGAATGACTCCCATGGAGGAGTGACACCCAGGAAAGAAATGTGGAGGTACAAAAGTGCAAAGATTGCGAAGCGAAACTGGGCCTGTTATCAACAGGTTGACCCTCATTGAAGGATGACACCCAGGAAAGAAGCACAATTATGATTAATACTATACCTTGCCTGCTTCTGACGCAATCCAACAAGTCATCGAATTCTCTTTCAGCATTCTGGACTTGACTTCTTTATATTCCGGCAGTGGCTTGTTGTCAACAAATACCGAAGCAGAAAATTGACCCAAAATCATGATTGGCCAGTAATGAGCTCGAGATGATGACGACAATGATATTAAGTGACTCTGTGAGACTTGAACTAATAAGTTAGTTACAAAAAACTTCACTTTGACTTTGAGCTCAGGAAGTCCAAATGAAATTTGTTGGAAAGTCTGAGAGTTCATTTGCTGGACAGTTCCTAAGACTTTTACAAATCAAATTTCCATTAGACTCCTAAATGTACAAGGATAATTTACCCCTGTAATTTGGCAATTTTATTAATATGAAGGTTGAAATAACTGAGCCCAGGTTGATCAAATCATCATTACTCACTTTAGTCTCATGATATTAATGACCTCTAGTAAATTCTTTATCTGAAAGTGAGAACATTACATGAATGGCGACAAAATATATCATGAAGGTTAGTGTGATGGCAGCCTAGGGTTATTCCACCTACATAAGCGCATGTGATCAACTTTGACACAGCCTGACTGACAAGTTGAACTATTCTGAACTTTTAGAAAATCAATTTTTAAAAGAAAGTTCGACAATTTCAACAAGAAATACATGTGATCTACACAAAGGAGGCGATATTGTCGAGACAGGGGTAATAATGACATTCCATAGGAGACAATGGAATCGAGCTTGGGGTCATATCCTTCAGACTATAATGAGACGATCTGATAGATCAGATACACTGCGTGGGATGCCAAGTATTGCCCAATGCATTGCATTCATATCATATGTGTATGCTAATCAACATCCATTCCATCATCTCTTTCCACAATTTCTCCATTATTCATAGGAAATGGCCTGGCCCTGCGACGAGGTGGTGGAGGAGGGATCCTTTTGTTTCTCTTTGCCATGGACATTTTCTTATGAATCTCCCGACGCTTCTGCCTCTCTGTCTTCCTTCTCAGATTGCCATCAGCATCAAATGGTTGTGAGTCCATCAGATCAGCCGCAAATATACGCTTTCCCTTGATCAACTTGACCGTACGACGTGCTCTTGGTGCACTCCTCTGACTCTCACCACCTCTTCCAATGGAGACAATCCTGTAAAATACGGGATTTGTCACGAAAACAATCCCATCGTTCCTTTGAATCCACACCCTTGTGCCGCTTGCAGGAAGACAGTGAATGTCAGAGAATACCTCACATAAACCTTGCTTGAGGGATTCCTGCTGATCTTCATCCATGTTCTTCATCATTCTGTGAAACTCTGCGATATATCCATCGCCCTCCCACAATGTGGACCACTGAGGTTTATCATGATGGGACACATCAGGGTCAGGAAAGAATAGGGAACATCTATCCACAAATGCCTTTGACTTAGGACCCATGCGACCTGGAGTGACGCCTGTATTATCATGCAGCCCAGCATTGCATGCTTCAAAAGTGACGGAAGCGAGGGTGTCATCAATGCTTGTGATTGTCCAGCACTTCATTGCCTCCTGGAGCGAACTTGGGTAGGGTCTGATGCCTTTAAAGACTTCGTCTGTCAGCATGAGCCACATGTGTGTTGTGAACATGACTATCAATCGTCCAATCGAGAGTTCTGTTGTGGACAACCTGTTTGACCATGTCCATGGCCTCATTATCAATCCAGGTGAGTTCGCAATGGCTGTCTTTAGTCTCGTCCATGTCGGGGTACGGCCAAGAGGATAGTCATCTGTCTCTGAATCAGTGTTCTTCCATCCCTCGATCCTTCCAATCGCTCTATCCCTTTGAGCCTTGGCATTTGCACCCATGAGAGCGAGTACATGTACATCATCAATCTGCTGCACCTCATCCAAGCAGGTGTCGCTGGCCAAATCGAAGTCCTGCAGAAAGAACATCCCCGCGGTCTCCAATACATTTCTGTATTCAAGGAGGGCAAGTGATTCACGGACATGAAGGTCGTAGATTATAGGTGTGGATGTGGTTGAACGAAGCATGTGGTTGAGCAATCCAGTGAGGATTCCGAGATTTGGAGGGTTCTTTCTTACAATGAATATTTGCGTTCTCTGGATCTCCCGCACACGTCGCCTGATCAGCTCAAACCAGATCTTCGAGGGGATCCATAGTACTGGATCGGAATGCAGATACTCTAGAGCCTGTAATGTCATAGGAATGTCAGGCCACAATGATGATATAGTGAATGGTATCTGTAACACCGACCTTGTCTTCTACATTATCCAGCATGATTCTGGCCGCATAGCCGCTAACCCTATATTCATCTCTGACACCATATGTCTTCTCCTTACAACCATCGACCACCTTCATTATTTCGCAGCATTCAGCCATGTATGATGGAGAAGTCTTGTAGGCGTCACTGTCTGAAGCGAAATTGACCTGATTGTTGTTGGTTCGAATTGCCTCGTAGTAGAGGTTGTAGGTGCTTCTAAATGCGATGTGCGTCTGCTGGGATCTTTCCTGTTGCATCTCAGCCTGAAGTGCGCCATATCTAGAAAGAGTGTTGTGGTGATGCATATCGCCTCTTTTGTATCCTCCTGCCCCAAATGATGCCTCAAGTGCGTCCAGTCTCCACACGCCAACAACTGGAACCTCCGGGGAGTGGGGTGTAAATGAGATACCCACGTCTACCAGAAGCTCACCATGCCTACGATCCATCATATATGGCCAGTCCAGGTCAGGAAGGTTCCGACGCAGAGCCTCTTCAGGTCCTGAGAAACGTCCTCTCTGTCCATCCTTTGTGAGGAGCTTGATGCCCTTTCCCTCCAGGATAAAGAAAAACGACCCATACATGCTGAGCTCGCCCCCTCCATTATGTATGTGGGTTTCCATGTATTCCTGCACATCTCTGAAGTCGTCATCCGAGAGGGGAATTGTTTTCGGAGGTCCCCATCCGCCTTTGCGTCCATCTGCACCTCTTGCCTTGTATCGTGCTTCGTCCAGTGTGTGCTTGAGGTAAGGCGCCCAGCTAACATCAGTGGAACCTCCTATCGATGGAAGAAGCACTCTATCCCAGAAAATGTCTAAGACCTCCTTTGGCATAAGCGTAACTCTTCGACCATTCAATGGGTGTTGATGGATCATCCTCGGAAATGCGATGTAGAGGTTAAGCGTTGAGGAAGCCGATGATATGCGTCCGATGCAAGCATGAGGGATAGCAGACATAGGAAGTCTTTTAGAAAGCCACTCCTTTCGTCCACCAGGGGCGTTAGAATCTTCTTCAGACTGTGGAATCAGGGTTTCGACATAGGTGTGATTGTGTTTGAATATCCCTGGTTTTGCTTGAAATGGTGGAGTGATATAGATACCCACAGACCCCCTGCATCGAAACACCTTTGTCGCCCAAATGATGCTGTCTATGTCGACGGAAATCTCTATTTCATCTTGAGAGAATCTCACTGCATCTCGTTCGAGGTCAAGATACAATGCAGGACCATCACCATATCGATGACTTGTGTGGCCACGCACAAAGGCATTGTGTCCAAACCTGCATTCCTCATGCAGTGGAGGATCATATTGTGCAGAATCGATGAGTTCAGAAGCAGAAAGTATCTCTACATCTGTGATGCGCGTGCATTGCCCCTCCTGAGATGACCCTCGACGTTGCAGGCTGTATGCACCCGTGACTCGATCTGGAACTTGATTTGATGGATCATGACTGTCGGTGGTGCCAATAGACATGACGTGATCCATAGTGGCTATGGGATCGCATTGATAGAATATGTGGAATGAGCTAGGGGTGATGCGATATCCGTGGTCAACCCAATCAACCCAAGCGGTCGAGATCTGTATTTTTCCAGCCTGGAATGTCGTGGTTGGAATTATGTCCCTTAGAGTTGTCAACATCTCGATTGTAGGTCCACCCTCGTAGTCGTCAAATGTCCTATCATCTGGACACCATCTCCTACCTGAATACGCAGCTAGTGGAGGTGGTGCAATCGGACGTGGAAATCGTTTGTTGGTACCAAGGTTCCAGTTCTTTACTCGCCTACGAGATGATGAGGCGGCTCCTGAGCGCTGGGAATCGACATTGTTATTGTCACTGACATCAAGAGGAATATCAGGCTCAAGTTGAAGATGTGTGCCAGTTGCGCGAGGGACTATCAAATTTCGATTGCGAGATCCGGTCAGGTGTTTGTTTGCTTTCAACAGCTTGGTGAGGTTCTCCTTGTGATTTACAGAAAGTGCCATTCCAAGAGAATCGTCTTCATGGGTGCTTTCAGCTTCAACACCATCCTCATCCACTGTCAAACCATCTCTGTTCTCGTCTTCATATGCTGATGGGTTTTCTCTATCCTTTTGGGGTGTTTGGCGTTGACACATTGAGCAGGTCGCGCTAACGACAGTCAATTTCCGCAGGAGCTTTAAGCATTCTGCCTGGTGCTGTCCATTCCGAATTGAATTCATCACATCCTCGTCTGGTACGTCATCCTCTCTCCAATTCTCCAGTGGACCGTCAAGGAGCATAAGATAGTCGCTACAGCTGAGCTTGAGACGCCCAGCCACAACACGCAACATATGAATGCGCAGTTTGTGGCCACATATGATATCGATTGCTGGCAGGTCTCCACGGTCATCTAATCCCACTCGCAAACATTCCTCGAGCACGGAGCAAGCGATAGGACCGCAGTCTACTCCGTTTTGCAACCAATTAGTGGATCTCACAGAGACATTTGTGACATCCCCTGTGCTCCAGCGATGAAGGGATCCAATTCTTCTCCAGTATTGCGGTCCATCCCAGTCTTCCCAGTCATTTGGATCTACGCCATCCACGTCCATCATTGAGTCGGAGATGTGGCGACCCATTACATGGGCTATATGTCTCTGGTAGTCAAATACGACAGCGAAGAAATGATCGGAGTGATGGACGATGAATCCAACAGGGACTACAGGGCATGTGCCGTCCTGAGATAAGAAGTGGTACTTTCTGAAGAGCTCTAATTCTTCGTCCACCATATCGTTCACCATCGCCGCATACAAGTCCACATATCTCATTTGTGATCGGCCCAGTACCTCATACCAGACATCACAGAGATAATAGTTAGCGACCGTAGCATCAAGCCATTCATTCAACCCAAGGGTTGTCCAGTTGTACCAGGCAGACGTCCAAATGACTGGTCTGGCCATTGCACGAGCTGTTATTGAATCAAATAAGTTTTGCCTTCAAATCTCTTCTATCCTTTCTGAACTTACATGCAACCTCCTGAACCGTTAGTTCCACTGTGATATTATTCTGCGAGACCTCCAGAGATGGTGACCGTAAAATTGCGTGTGGCGGAGGAGAAGGCCTGTATTCATCATCATGTATTTTTGCTATCGATGGTGCTGGACTCCCTGGATTGCATCATTAATACCATTACTTTATCTGCTCATTTGTCAACAGATAATGCTTACATGTCCCTGTTTCATGTGTGTAATCATTGTCGATGATCTTCGACTGAGCAGCACTCGAAGGTGATTTACGCATAACCTGGTGTTTTGATCCTGCAAACATATTCTGTAGGTATCATGAAGTTTAGGGATGAGTCGAATAACCACTTACCTCTACCTCTTGCATGAACGATGCGCTTTTTTGGACGTCCACGACGTCGCTGACTGTTAGATAGGCATGTCCTGGATGGATTACCCTCGATGTATGGACCATCATTATTGCCATTCCCACTACAAAGTGCTTCATCAGGCCAAGCTATGTGGTCAGTCTGCACTATATCTCCTTTTTCCTGTTGTCCCTCCTGCACCGGATTGCTCGTGGCACGAATAACGAATCCGGAGTGATTATTTCTCCTCTCCTTCGGGGATGATAGCCTATCTCTCAAGGCAACGTGATTGTATTTTTTTTCTATTGATAATTTTCATGTGAATTCTGGTAGAGATTTATTACAGGGACGTACGCTGTGCTTTTGCCCTCCTCACAGGTCTTCCACATGGACGCCGTAGCTCGTTTCCTTTTGTGCGATTGTTCTGGTGAGAGATCAAGGTGCTCTCTATATCTTGTGATCTGTCCCTCCTCTCTTCAGCTCTATTGGAGCTAGCATCTGCTGCATGCGTCACAGACAATGACCCCTTAGGGTTCCAATCCAGGATTCCAGACCTCATTATCTGTTGCAAGATGTCTGCTGTGTCAGACAATTCATCCTCAGCCCTCTGCCCCTGTTGATCATCACTGCATATTATGCCATAGTCTATTGTATTATGCTGGTTCGTCAGATTCTCTGGGACTGGACTAATTGTGGCACGGATTAGTCGTTTATCATTAGTGATTTTGAGGATGTTCTGGGTCGGTTCATCACATGGTAATGATGGATGCTGCTTTTTGCCTGCTCAATTTTATGAACTCTGAATGTAAATATGGGGCACAATATATGAACTCACGACTATTCACAACTCGCTTTCGTGGTCTGCCTCTCTTTGGCTTTTTTGTTTCGACCTCGTCATTCCACCCCTCTGCAATATCGCATGCATCAATCGCTGCAGATAGGGCTCCGCAATTATCACTACCATTATTGTTTGATAAATTTCTAGATGGGCTCTCAGCTGTATCTCTACCAGTAGCTGATGTACTTGATCCATGCGGGTCCACATCAAGGATGTTTAATTTAAGTATTTGCTGCAGAAGTTCGAGGGAGTCGTCTTCGTCCATCTGATGCAGTGTGATTTTGGGCGAGTGATCTACCACACCTCGCAAATTTTCTCATTATATTCGGCACAACAGTCCCTAGAACATCCATGTGCTCGCACTGAAGCGAAATACGTCCTTGATACGTCCTTGATTGCACAAGGAGATGATCACTGCTCTACACCATTTCGATCAATTAAGTCAGATGGGCTCACCCTGTCATTACATATCTTCCGATGTGCTCGGACATCTAAGGTTTCGGTTCAATAGAACGGTACTCGGTTATATGTTGTGACATGCAGTCTGATCTGCTCCAGTGCCATGCATCATGTCAACACTTTATTTTATGCCATAAGAACAGCCTGGGCGTCCTTCAGTAACTTTTTATGATCCGGTGATAACATTTGACACATCATTCTTGATCCGTTCATCAGATCGACACTTTACGACATGGAATAACTGGTCCCGCAGTATGGCCCATTTTGATGTCAACACTGAACACTCTTCGTCACTTTTTTCACCATCTCAATGTCCCGCAGACCATCTATCACTAGCTGTGCAATTGAAAGAGATGGAAGGAGACGGTTGACTGCGATGCGTAATAGTCACCCGAAGCTTCGTACATTGAGGCGATGCACTTCGTTGGAATGTAAATTTTAATGCATTTCCATCGTGCAACATTCTGGCTCATACACCTTATAATTAACAGGGATATATGATACATCTACTGATTCAGATGATTCGACTGAGTGTCCCATGGTCATTCGTGTAGGGGAAGAGTACGACAGACTTTATTCGTGTTTTTGCTCAGATTATGCTCATATGCTTCTCACAGTGTCGCAATTTATCCACTAGATGAACGTGCAGTTCAAATGCCAGATGGAAGCCTACAAGTAATGTCGTATTGGTATGGGAAAGTTGCGGAAATATATCTAAAGACTGGTCGACAGTCCCAGGAAAGTATATTTGCCACTACAACGGCTATACCTAACTTAACTCATTAAATAATTACAGGATGTATGGCTCAAAATTCAGTGGTATTATCGGAAGGTAGATTTGGAGGATCAGGGCGTTGAGTACGTCCTTTCAATTTAAAGTGACCGCTATAGGTTTATGAATGCATGAATATTTAGTCTTGCGTTATGCGTCGGTGAGTATGAGGTTGTCCTCAGTAATCATATGTCTGTAGTCGATATGTGCTGTGTGGAGGGTATGTAGCGACATCTGGATCATGCCACCATTATTTTAACATGTTGCATTCCCGATAGATCATGCGAAAATATTGCCATACGATGAAGGAGATCTCGCGCAAAATCAGATACCCACGAAGACTCTGTATAATCGCTGGACTGTGGATATTACATTTTCACGCCGTGGTAATGTTGAGTATATGGATGGCGTGAACGTTTCTGTATGCAAATATTCTTCTATCTCACTGTGCACTCCATCTGACAAGAAATTCAGAACTCTCAGCCAGCCACTCATTGCGCATGCAAGAAATGCGATCCCTCTTTTTCCTCTCCAATGACTCAACAACGATACTGTAGAAAATGTCATCAGTGGTTCAACGAGACATGCATTGCAGCTCTTGGTCGTCAGCTGCGCAGCAACATAAAGGCGACGATGCCTTCCATGTATCGTGACATTGACTTCGACTCGCAGTTTCTGTCACTGTTGACGATGCCTATCAGGCGAGGAGGGTCGTGTGGAATCGTTGGAAATGCATCCATCCTCATGAAGGTAAAGAAACTTATGGAGGAAGCTCGAACCATTCGTCGATTGCCCGATGGGTGGAAGAATAATATGCAGGACATCATGCTTCAAATGGGACATGAGAGTATTCCTAGATACTACTGTCTGACTTGCACGACGGCAGTCATATAGCATTCTCACATTACTTCCATTTATTTGTATCTACCCCCATAGATATGGACAAGCCGCCTCCTTAGTAATTTATGCTTTCTTTCTCTTGTGATCACATGTCTGATCATCTGACTTGAGATTAAGTTTAAAAATGTTATACATCGCCCTGAGATGACACATAGTGTAGTCAATAGCATTATTTGCTAGTGTGACGTCAGGATCATCGGTTCCGAATACAGCAGCATAAATTTCTATATCATGGTAACAGTCCTAATGATGGTCAATGACATAATCCCTCCATGAATCCATCGTGTAACTTTCGTGAATGGAGCGTACACGATGCGCACCACTTGTTGAAAATAAAAGCAACCATACAAGACGTCGACGGAGAATGCTCCCTCAAGGTCACTGGACAGTCACTGAAGACATGCCCAATTGCCACACACTATCGACTACCGTTATATGCGCTCAACAAGAAAATCGGAAGCTACAGAAAAATCGTGCATCACCTGCAGAATTCATCACGCGATGAGGCTATCATGCTACGAAACACCTATTTGTCGGTTATACGATATCTGAATGATGTACGCATTGCATTCCTGGATGATGCTGGTGCATCTTCAGATCCCCTCGATGGAAACTTCAGATCTGCTACATTGGACTATTATCTCTGGTTGGATCATACGGGTAATGGATTTCACGATGGATGTCGTCAGGAATTGGCTACAGCTCATGGTGTTTCCTTTGACGGCCTCAAGAATGGCGATTGTCAAGACATACTCGTATTTGTGCGGTGCTTGTATGTTATGTATCTAATTAGACCTGATATTTTAACGCAGTGAATTGGATCGCATATCACAGAGAGAATTGCAAGGATTACGATTTCTGTGGCGCATTACAAGGATCTGGCGCAGGGAAGATATTAATCGTCTTTATGATGCGATAGATGCTTCTCTTGACAAGATCGTTGATGCAAGGAATGCAACAACAGATTCTCATGACTCTCCTCAGGAGTTGGTTGAATCGGGCGAGCTTGACACAGTACGTAAGTTCTATAACGGACGATGCAAATATAACATGTTTTCTTCTAGCACGCCAGTCCATTCCAGCATTTCCACAATCCATTCAGCATGCAGTGTCGTGGCCTTGCTCTTACCACCCTAGGTCAACGATGCACGTCACATTATTGTTGGGGGCTTTGGACGATGGCTACCAAGTCATATCGTAATGCGGTTTCGAGAAATTCAAGGCCTGAAGTATGATGATCCATTGGACAAGCTAGTGGTCGAATGGATTCCTCGTAACAGCACGAGATTCGGAGGAGTACTTTGAGATATTTGGCATGACAGAAATGTTGTTGAAATGCCAGGAGTTATCGGTGGACCGTGGGCTATGGCGAGATTCTTTATTGCTGCTGGCCGCGAGCTCTACAAATCTCGTGAGGGTAGTGACTGTGTGGTCGAATATGACCATTCCATCGATTAATCGAACACAGAGCTACCCCATATGTGTCCCGCATTGCTATTCAAGATCCTATGGCTAATGTAGTCGAATATGACCAGGCCATCAATTCTCTCGATTCAACCGAGCACGGAGCTACCCCAGATGCGTCCCGTATCAATGTTCAAGGTCGTATGGCTAATTATGGAGCCACAATGGATATTGGTGTGCAAGTTGATTCACATGCGGACTGCACAATGCAGTTGCCATGCGGCAGGACTATGTCAGACACTGAAGTGCAGACTGACATGCTAGTGCAGGACGACGTAGCTATGGATTATTCCCAACCTCAGCACTCAGAAACCGCTGTTGAGTCCGATAGTACTGATTCCAGATTCCTTCACGAACAGATGAATGAAGACATCAATGTCTGTTTGTTTGTTGTCCTCTTCGCATAATAGACTCATGAGTTCATTTACGCAGGCTTATACGGATATGTATCCACAGTCACCAGGAAATCAAAACTACGATTTCGGTGATGTATCCAGTACATCAATTCTACTTGAAGCCACGATCACTGCAAATACAAATGTTCTGGACGAATCAGCCTCCAATGAAAGTACATGTGTCGGTAACACTACGACCCAGGAGACACAATGTATGCCAATTTCACCCAACCTGAAATCGCGATTACGCCAACGTAAAACAACGTGTTTAACGACAGCCCCAGCAGTCTCTAAAAGATCCAAGATTTCAAACGTGGACGACCTGTGGTATTCGCTACAAAAACGGACCGTTCTCGCTCACATATCAAAAGATCCTGTTCCGTCAGTCGAATATCCAACATACACAATGAAAGACCTTCTGCATGAGTCTGAAATGGGTGCAATGCATGTAACGCCAATTGTACGTCAATCGTCCATCTTCTCTTGCTTTAAAATTAAGCTACCTTCCAGTTGGCCTCCTTCCTCATGGATCCCGATGCGATGAATGTTGTTTTATCTACTATCAAATCAGATCACGATTCATGGTTGGCCATAGCTCGACATATAGCTTTATTGATTCGTGGAGAATGCATATCCCATGCTATGAGCAAGATGGCTAGGGTACTTATGTCAATTGATATCTGGATCAAGGATATCGCGATAGAGTGTCAGGACACACTTCGTAATATTACTGGAGATAATGTCCTTCCCCCCTTGGTATGTCTATGCCATCTTTGATGCTGCTCCGAGATATACATGATTAGCAGGCGCATTGTGTTCTGGTTGAACTTTCATCCCGGGCGATATCGGATAAGGAATCCGTACGTTCTACATTACACAAACTCTGGGTGAATAGTTTTTATTTTTCATTTCATGATGAATTACTCAGCTGAGCTAACAACTATGTCGTCCGCCACAGAATTCAGACGATGTGCAATCTATGAAATACGTTCTTCGATATCTTCTGCATGTCTATAAGCCTGACATTCCTGATACGTATACCCCTGGATTGAAAATGCTCGCATCAGTGATGAAGGATCAGATGCAACCTGTGCTAGGTCATGGGCAGGTACATACTTAGTAAATACATATGTCACACTGCAGGCATTCTAACACTGTTTATTTCCTGGAAATTCTTTCGCGTTGATAATGTCATACAAGTCGTATCTCACCCACTCGCTCAATAGCAGTTAGCCCTAACTAAACTAACCACTAAAAAAGCCAGCACTGTCATTTGAGCCAAACAGCTACCACACACTCAGTGTTCGTTTAACAACCTATTGAATAGTGCAGATGTATTGGTAATACATGGATCTTGTATACTGTCGAGTAGAAATAAAAAATAATAATGCATGCATGCTACAGGTCAGAAACATGCCCTCTCTCAGCACAAATCAATGCGGCGAGGAGGAATAATTTGATTATCGATGTCAGAAATGCTACAAAATGAAATATTTATATCCATAGTACAGTTTCAGTACAATATAATATGTCCAACACACAACAATATTCACTGCGGAAACGAGAAAAGAGCCAGATCAGATTAGTGTAGAGATACACCATATACGCGGAATATAAACAGACGTCGCATACGATGCAAATCCCGAAGCGCTAGACTAGCGAGAGGTACACAGTGCTGACTCTAATACGACCCTGGATACATGAATTGTTCAGAGGTAGATTTGTTATCCGTGTATCTAATCCGACAGCAGGATTGTATCTGAAAACATGCTTTGCACATCTGAATTATGTCTGCATAGATTATAAAAACAGATCCAATTAGACTCCACATAGATATACACAGGGTTGGTATGCTTTCTAGGATTCCCCATGCGCTTGCCCATAGCTTCTCGCTCGCTCGCTCTTCCCTTTGTTCTCTACACCCCACATCCGCAATGTATGGGTCCAAAGACCCACAGCAACGCCCTAGTGGTGTCCTCGCGTATCCTACTTAACATGATGTCAGTCTCAGGTGATGCGTCATGATCCATACTGATTCCACAACCAGCCTCATCCGTCCCCACTGACTGTGCCCGACAACGGCTTGCCACAGCCTGATGTCTTCTTCAGTGGAGAGGTGCCTAAGTATGCGATGGTAAAGTCAAAAGTGATTCAATGCAACAAGAAAACTCGCGTATTATCAATCGGGGGTAGAGATGCTCTAAATCACTCACACTGAAATGAGCAAATGGGGATGTTGTTGGGCAAACAGTTCAAACGCACAAAGACACACCATTTGTCCCCACTAGTGACAGGCAGAACGGAACAGGATAGCAGTATATCATCTGCCGTGCTAGCCAAAACCTAATGGGTCAAGAGCAGTAACATGTACTGATTGCGACAATCAACATACCTTCGAAGATCTCATTCTCCTCTGCCCCATACATGCACTCTGGCCCTGGAGTCCATACAAGATGAGTAACAGAGTAGATGTGTGAGCATGCCACGACAAACATGGTACAGACGACATCCTTCATATCAGCTAAGTGTGATCAGTGTGCCATGGAAGTGTGTGTGAAAAAACTAGATATCAAGACATTCTACTGATTCACGCACCACTCATTCAATTACTCTGTAGCGTTGCATTAGCATGGTCATCATGTATATAAAAATGACTGCCAAATCAAAATTTTAATTTATGTACGAGTGTTCACTTGAGACGGTCAACAAAATTCACTGGCTCAGATGCCGGTCCAAACTCGAGATGCGGAAGCAGATGCAGCCACTGTCATCGACAGTATGCACCTAAGAGGCGCGAGGACCACTAGCAAGATGCACATAGCGAGGGAGAAGAACAACACTCGAGATGACGAAGCAGATGCAGCCACTGTCATCGACAGTATGCGCCTAAGAGGCGCGAGGACCACTAGCAAGATGCATAGAGCGAGGGAGAGCAACAACACTCGAGATGACGAAGCAGGTGCAGCCACTGTCATCGACAGTATGCGCCTCAGAGGCACGAGGACCACTAGCAAGATGCACAGGGCGAGAGAGAAATAGTAAACTCAACATTGCAACAGCAGATGCAGCCACTGTCATCGACGTATGCGCCTAAGAGGCGCGAGGACCACCAGCAAGATGCACAGAGCGAGGAGAAATCGTAAACTCAACCTTGCAAGAGCGGATGCAGCCACTGTCATCGACAGTATGCGCCTAAGAGGCGCGAGGACCACTAGCACGATGCACACAGCGAGGAAAAAGGTAAAGGATGTTGTGGTCGAGAAGAAAGAGTGATTTCGCGGATTGAAAATATTTAACTCCGCCTCACATGACATTTCCACGCCACCAAGACGCGCTTAGCGGAGTTCAATTTCTACAGATCTGGCTGTGTTGGCACTGACGTAGTAAGTATGTGGTATATGTACAAGTAAGATACAATTATGATTTGAATCGTTATGTAGTCTGACGGTAATTAACAAATTTCAGTCGATTCGTAAGAGGCAGTCAAAAGCTCAGTCGAAATTGTGTGTAGTCAACATTGTATATGTGCGAGTAGGATGTCTGTGCACAATTGGGGTAATAAGTAGGACAGTAGACATAATGAGTTACATTATGGAGACGGTCAGTCCTGACAGACGACACAATAATGAATCTTGTTGTTGTATGTAGTCAAAATGGTATATGAGCGAGTAGGATTTCTGTAAACAATTGGGGGTAATAAGTAGGACAGTGG